TGTGCAATACTTTTCTCTTTATGTAAATAGACGAGAGCGGTAAAGATTTCCAGAGCCCATTGCGCAATCGTTGCCACTGAATAGTTGATATTTGGGCAAGTGATCACTGAAAATGATTATAACAGAAAGGAGTTCTGAAAGTAAACATTGAGCTATGGAATCAGAGCCAGGTCAGGCTAAGAGCAAAGCATTTGGTCTTGGCCCGGCTCGACCTGGCCTAGACCAAAAATTGAAAGACACGGCCTAGGCTATGCGAAGCGTCGACTAAATACCGTTCCGAAGTGGGCCTTGCTCGCAGAATTCCATAAAAATGAGCAAATTCGCGCTCTGATAGCCGAAATCCAGCGGAGACTCCATGTATTTGACGATATTCGGATGCATGAGCTCTCGTAATGTTTCGAGCTCCGCTTGTTGGTTGATTCGATCGGAGAACGCCAGAACCTCTTTCATGACGATTTGACTGAAAGAGTCAAATAAAAGTAAAGTCTCTGAAAAGAATAAATAATCTTTTCGGATAAAAACAAACGGGTCATAGTCCTCAAGTAGATACGTTTTTCCAAAAGCGCCTTCACCGATCAGCTTCATCATTGCTACACGAAAAGAATTTTCAATTTGTGTTTTTTCCTTATAAATTCAGAGCTAAGAAATATAATTTGAATCAATGGAAAGGACAAATGTAAAAAGAGATTTTAGCTGTAATTGATGGTTTCTACTCGATCGGGACACAAAATGGGAACCTTCGCAAACACTCAGTGGGAATCAACTGGCTCCACGTGGAGCTGAGTTCTTTTCGATCAACTCAATTCCGGACAGGGAGACATTGTTGAGGAGATACTGCTGTTGGGACAGCGTCGATCTTTGGGAGTCAAGGCAAACACAGTTATTTGCACTTAAAGTTTTCCTGTTGTTTCTTTGCTTTCTCGTAGTTCTCAATTTAATCGAGTTTATTGATTTTATTGAGGATTTCGGAAAATAAATAACTTTTCATTTCCAAATAATCTTGTTATAAAGTGTTTACTTTTTGAAATTCCTTGATTTTCTGGGGCAATTTCGATTGGAGTTCAATAAAGCACACATCATAGACTTTGATTTGCTGGGTGATCATTTGTCAGACCTCTTCGGCCATTTTCTTTATCTAAAAAATATTTATTGATCTATTTTTAGTCAGAATTTTGTCTAAAATCAGAAAAACGATATTGCCTTTTTGTCATGGCTGACTCCTTAGGGAATAAACGAGGTCGGTTCAACTCTAGCCTTGCCCAGAAAATTACGGTCTTGCCACTTCACAAGCACTTATCATTCAACCAGTTAAACAAAACAATTCAAAAAGAATCTATGAAAAAAAATGTTCTAGTGAACTCTAGCAAAAGTAGAATATTGAATTTTAAAAATGAGTTACTGTAAAGTCTCTTGAGGCGATCCGGCTAGAGGATCCTCTGAATTCTACTTCTTACTCTAAAGCGTCTAGTTCAAAATGGAAAACGAACAAGAAAGAACAAGAACATTTTTGTCTAGCTTTAGGTCTCGTTCTCCTTGTCCCAATCCAGCTTTACTCGGGAGCAATCTGGTGGAGAGTTAAAGAAAAAATGGTTCTTGGAGAAGATTATCGTCTCATTTCGATCTTCGATCCGATTTTTGAGACTGGAAATTTCATTCGTGGCTGTTGCTGGGGCAAAAGTGCAAAGGAAGCTGTGGATTTGCCTGATTTCACTCCGCAAATTTCTCAAATAGAAACTGGAAAATTTTGATATACTAAGAATTACTTATATCTATGTTTTTTCCACCGCAATTTGTTTCGATATGTGTTTATGATGGTATTTGTGATGGTGATGTAACTGTTTTCTAAGTCACCTTTGAACTTTGAAATACAAATTAGTTTTTAACGTGTACTGTCGAGATTGTAAACTAGATTTCAGTAGGCTGAAAATTGAAATCGATAGTGAGTAGTTGTTTGTGTTGGAAAATTTTTAGCTGTTTCTTTCTTTTTTGGACTTTTTAGACTCAAAACGGTACAATATATTATTATTAACGTTCTCATTAATATTTATATCATTAGATTCATTAATATTAATTAATATTCTTAGTTTACCTTTTTTTGTGTACTGAAATTCGCAAAAGCTGTCCAGATATTCTTTATAATCGTTCGTAGTACATTCATATACAGTAGCGGACAAAGACTTAGCATAATTTAGTTTTTTTATAATAAAACTCGCTGTTTGTACAATATTTACCTAAAACTTGGAAATATAAGAATAAAACTTGATGTTTTAACAAAAACAATTGGTATTTAGCCAAATAGACTTTCAGAAAAATTTTTTGAAGATTTTTATACAAAACTGGTGCGACAAAGGCTTAGCATAATTTTGCATTTCCCAGTGATTTTGATTATTTTTCTGTGTTTTTTTTTCTTAAATTGAGCTATAATTTGATTGAAATTTATTATTTTATTAATTTCAGTCAATGCGGCGCAAGAAACAACTCCAGCCTGCTATTCGGGATACGATTGTGGCTCTTCATCAAGCCGGTGAGAGACAGGATCGAATTGCTACCATTCTGAGGGTGCACCAGTCGACTGTTTCTAGAATTTTGAAGCTTTCAAGACAAAAGGAAGCACAATTGCAAAAAAGAATGTTGGTGTTACACGGAAAACAACTAGTCGAGATGATAACAGGTTTCAAACCTTATCAAAAAGCAATCCTCAGAAGCCTGCAACTGAGATCTACAAAGATTTACCAACTTCTTTGAAAGCTAAGATCACTCCGCGAACGGTGCAACGTCGTCTAAACGCTAAAGGACTATTCGGGAGACACCCTGCCAAGAAACCATTGATTTCAGCAAAAAATCGGAAAGCCCGAGGGAAGTTTGCTAAGGGGCATCAAGGGTGAACTCTTCAGCAGTGGAAAGATTGCTTGTTCACTGATGAAAGCAAGTTTCCCCTACTTGGTTCTGATGGAATTCAGTATATTCGACGTCCCGTTAACCAAAGATACAATAAAAACTACATTCTCCCTACAGTCAAACATGGCGGCGGAAACGTTCTCGTATGGGGTGGCTTCTCTTCTTATGGAACTCTACCACTCAAGCGAATCACTGGGATTATGGATCAACAAGTTTACTTGGACATTTTGACAAACCATATGCTTCCAAATGCAGTTCAAACTATGCCTCCAATTTTCAAATTTCAGCATGATAACGATCCAAAACACAAGGCTCGACTCGTTCAAAACTGGCTGTCGCAACAAAACTTTGCCGTTATGGAGTGGCCAAGCCAAAGCCCCGACCGGAATCCTATTGAGCATTTGTGGGAAACGCTGGGAAGAATCTGCAAAGGGATTAGAACTCAAAATGCTCAGGATAAATTTGATCTCTTAGCCAAGAAGTGGTCGGAGATTCCAAAAAAGGCCGATCGCCGATGAACTTATCGAGTCCATGCCTCGCAGATGTGATGCTGTCATCACCTCGAATGGTTTTCCTACAAAGTATTAATTGTTAAAAACGAATTTTGTTGTTTTGATTTCAAAAACATTTGTTACCAGCTTTAGTTAATCTGTTATTAAAAATATGCTAAGTCTTTGTCGCACCAGTTTTGTATAAAAATCTTCAAAATTTTTTTCTGAAAGTCTATTTGGCTAAATACCAATTGTTTTTGTTAAAACATCAAGTTTTATTCTTATATTTCCAAGTTTTAGGTAAATATTGCACAAACAGCGAGTTTTATTATAAAAAAACTAAATTATGCTAAGTCTTTGTCCGCTACTGTACATTAATTAAATCGATAGGAAAGTGATCTTCTAATTTACATTTTGGTTCGTGTTTGCAAAGTTCTCGTGGTGGATTTCGAATTTGGAATAGATAATTGGGAATGATTGAAGAAAATTCTGATTGTTGTTCAGGAAATTTTGGAATTATTGGCATTTTATTTTTATCGGCATTTTCTATCGGAATAAACCGATCGACGAATATTTTCGCAATTTTCTCGACTCTAGACAAAACCTTAGTTGCAAGTTGACTCATTTGATTTATATCGATCGATTCTTGATGAGAAAAATACAGTTCATCATAATCTTGCAAAGCATAAGCTTCATTTCTTGCTTCGTTCCCCGATTTTATTTCCCTTTGCCTGCGGTTACTGATATTTCGGTAGGAGTTCAGTTGTGTTATAAAGTCTTTTTTGTAAAGTTCCCCACCGATGGCAAAAAAAACTCTTCACCACTTGATAATGAGTTATAAATGTCGACGATGAAACGCGTTGTGTATCGATTTTGTTTCTGCTCCTGCAAATCACGAACGCCCAGGCGAATGGCTCGACGGACAGCTATTTGTGGACAGCTATTTGTACGATAATTAAGACATTTTTCTTAACCTTCTTGAATCACGTAGCCAAAATTTTTGGTTTTTATATAAAGCTCACACCGGTAAGCATGAGTATCCAATGTTTTTTTTAACCTTTCCCTTCAAATCTTTTGTTCAATGGCGGTAAACCTGTCTAAAAACTAGGCTCAACAAAACGCAAGTTTACACTCAAAATGCAGTACAAATTTGCGTGGATAAGAGCCACACATATTTATCGTTTTTTGAAAACGAAAATGGACTTTAAGCAATGTCGTAGCTCTTGGTGACAAACACAGCAGCAAATAAATTACCTTTTATGATTTTTCTTGCCAAAGAGTTTTCCCCTTATCAGAAGATTGTCCATCAATCCTTCTTTCGCAACTTCACGGCTGCAAGTCACGAGCTTTTCATCATTTGAACCTTATTTGAAAAATCCCTCACCTTTTTGAATCTTAAACTTTCAAAGAAATTTAGAAGCATTACTTTATTAATTGATTATTCTCGTGTCTTCTACTTCTCAGTCATCTTTTCTTTTCCAAACCCTTTTTCCTTATCAATAAATTAAGTTCTCAATCGATTTTTCGTTTATTTCCTTTCTGTCGTAGCTTTCTCACCAATTCCGCTTACATACAAACACAGAATTACCAAAAATTAGTATTTGTTGGAGTATGGAAATCGTTCCACGTTGGATTGGACGAGGATCGTTTGGGGATGTCTATGAATTGGTTGGACATCATCCGTGAGTTGTTCAATAGTTGGTGGGAGTAGAAACGTTACTATTGAAGTATTTAGCTTATTTACTCAATTGAATCATTTTCAGACCAGCTGTTCGCAAAATCGTTTACTGTGGAACAAAAGCTCAACAAGATGCCTTCAAAAAAGAATACGAAACGTTGCAAGAAATGAAACATCCAAATATTGTAGAATTTTTTCGAACTGAACAACTTGATGATGACCGTTTTGGAATTGTTATGGAATATTGTCAATTGGGAAATTTGAAGAAAGGTAGCTTGATTGATGGATAAGATTATTAATATTCAGTAATCCTTGATACATCCGTTATCTACACAATGAACACAGTTGTCTGTTGGGGAAAACAATTATTTGGAGCTGTTGATTATATGTATCGAGAACATCAAATGGTACATCGAGACATCAAACCAGAGAAGTAAAAGTTCTGTGCAAAAGAATTCAGTAAAAGTTTAGCATTCTTGTCACTGATGGATGGATTCTGAAGATTGGGGATTTCGGATCGACGCGAATGATTGAAAAAACCTGTACTGTGGGTACGGTTGTTGGAACAGAACGATATATTAGTCCGCCACAATTGGATGAAACGAAAGAACTATCGGAACAATGGGAAACTAGGCCACAAGTAACATTTCATTAAGTTTTCGAATAAAGGATTACCTATTTCCAGGATTCCCATCGAAATGACGTGTACAGTCTTGGGCTCACAATGTGGGAAATCATTGAGAGAAAGTGAGTTTTTCTAAATTGATTTGCCTTATTGAAACGTTTTAGGAATGTATTCTCTGAATATGGAAATCTTTATTTCAATCGTGGTTACTTTTTGGCTGCCATTATTCTGAAAAGATTCAAAGAATTGAGCAGGCCCGAATGTCAAGATGAACTGGGGGAAATTGTGGAAAAGTTGGTGAACAAATGCTGAAAATTTCCATAAAGATTGGGTAAAAAAAATTCTAGATGTACAAATTTCAATCGTTCATTACGGCCAAATGCTCAAGAAGTTGTCACGAGTTTGGGAAATTTCAGGAAGGTGTGTGATTAGATCATCTAAACAAATGGCGATTTAGAAACAAGAATCGATCAATAATTTGAATTTTTTGCCTTTAAAAGAAACAAAGCAAAAAGAAGTGATCAGACCAATTGGATTTAATGGAACAGAAGAAAAAATTCCAGTATTTGAACCCCAAAATTTCTCAAAAAATTTGGGGAAATCTTCAACGGTTAGAGTGGTCGATATTGACACAAGGCTTCGCGTCAAGCAACGAAAAGAGCCATTTAACACTGGCTCTGACTACAGTATTCCTTTAATAAAAGAACTAAAAAGGAGATTTTCTGAGTTTGAAACCAAAGAAATGAAGGAAACATTCCTTCAAGAAATTCCATCAATTATTCAAGAAATGACTGAAAAGGATTGGCATGTTGATGAATGGGAAAATCCCGAGGAGAAATGGAAACTGATTGATTGCAAAGATCAACAATTTTCACATATAAAAAGCATTCACGAGCTTTTCCGTCTCCTAATTTTGAACGACATTGGTCAACAGCATCGGTTATTCAGCATGGTCAACCACAATGGTGCGATAACATATGATGACAAAAATCGGAGTTGGTTTTGTCCATGGGTTCAGCATAAAACCATTCGATGGCTCATTTGTGATTTGCAGGATCAGGAACAAAATCGATACAAAACGCGTTTCATCGTCGACGTTTTGATCTCATTATCAAGTGGTGAAGAGTTTTTTACCATTGGTGGGTATCCTTACAAAAAAGACTTCATAACACAACTGAACTCTTACCGAGAAATCAGTAATGGTAGTCAATCGGTAATAGAATCGGGGAACGAAGCAAGGAATTCTTATGCTTTGAAAGATTATGATGAACTATATTTTTCTCATCAAGAATCGATCGATATACATCAAATAAGACAACTTGCAACTAAGGTTTTGTCTAGAGTCGAGAAAATTGCGAAAATATTCGTCGATCGGTTTATTCCGATAGAGAATGCCGATAAAAATAAAATACCAAAAATTCCAAAACTTCGTGAACAACAATCAGAATTTCCTTCAATCATTCCCAATTATCTATTCCAAATTCGAAATCCACCACGAAAACTTTGCAAACACGAGCCAAAATGTAAATTAGTAGACCACTTTTATGATGATTTAGTTGATTTCTATGAATGTACTACGAACGATTATGGTGAATATCTGGAGAGCTTTTGCGACTTTCTGGAACTTTTAGATGATATCTATAAGAGCCCATTTTTCGAAGTTAAAGAAGTAAACCGTTTTTCCCAAATCTTCGCAAACTGCCCGTGGAAGAGGGAAAAAGCGAGTTTTGTGATATTACTCGATCATCCAAATAATTATGGAGACAAGGAAAAGATTCCATGTATGACAGTTGATCGGACATTTCTAATGATACCTGTTCAAGAAATTGTAAAAGCACTGCAAAAAATTCCTCCCAACCGTCGAACTTATACTCGACTTAATGGTGATTTCACGGTCCAGCTTTTAGGCTCAGAATTCTATCCCATAGAAAATAAATGGATTGATCTAAGAAACAAAGACGCTGTTAAGTCTTGTTTACTACAGTTGTATCGCAAAAGTCAAAGAAGTTTAGCTGGAGAACGTCGGAGCAAACGCAGAAAAACATAGGATGCTTGTGAAAAGTATTATGCACACTTCTCTCTATCGACATTTCTTGGTTTATGAAATAAAATTGTTTTATCTCTATTCGTTCACCCGAAAATGTTGATAACAAAAAAAGTAACACAAATTGTAACAAAGATATTTGAAACTTTCACTAAAGTTAAGCACGAGCATTGATCGGAAATTTTTATTGCCACTCGCTAATCGTTATTTGTCTTAATAAATCATCTTTTTCTTTGCAAAGAGTTTTCACATTCTTTCTTTCATCCAAAAAGCATGTTCATGCTAAATGAAATTTGCAATTTCCTAAGCTGAAATTCAGCTTAAAGTTAGTTTGGATACCTTAAAATTGAGCTATCCATTCAAAACTTATTGAAATCTGTTTACAATCTCAACAGTACACGTTTAAAAAACAATTGTATTTCAAAGTTCAAAGGTGACTTAGAAAACCGGTACATCACCATCACAAATCCCATCATAAACACATATCGAAACAAATTCCAGGAAAAAAAACATAGCTATAAGTAATTTTTAGTATTTCAAAATTTTCCTGTTTCTATTTGAGAAACTTGCGGAGTGAAATCAGGCAAATCCACAGCTTCCTTTGCACTTTTGCCCCAGCAACAGCCACGAATGAAATTTCCTGTCTCAAAAATCGGATCGAAGATCGAAATGAGACGATAATCTTCTCCAAGAACCATTTTTGCTTTAACTCTCCACCAGATTGCTCCCGAGTAAAGCTGGATTGGGACAAGGAGAACGAGACCTAGAGCTAGACAAAAATCTTCTTGTTCTTTCTTGTTCGTTTTCCATTTTGAACTAGACGCTTTAGAGTAAGAAGTAGAGTTCAGAGGATCCTCTAGCCGGATCGCCTCAAGAGACTTTACAGTAACTCATTTTTAAAATTCAATATTCTACTTTTGCTAGAGTTCGCTAGAACACCTGGAACGCGAAAAAAGAGCCAAAAATCTTTAAAAGGTTGATTAAAAATGAAATTGCAGTACTTTGGAAAGGTTGACCGCCATCAAATGCTCCCGGACTGCTCAAGACTCAAGACCATTTACAAAATCGATTCAACTGATGCATATTTCACAAAAAATTTTAAACACTCCGGTATTTTTATTTTAGTAAACTCTTTTTCATAATAAACTTATTAGGTTGTCCCATAAAAAATTGCCGTTTTTTCATTTGATTCGTATTCAGCGACAAATTAACACTTTTTCCTTCTCTTTTTTTTATTATACTAATTTACAATTCTAGTTTTATGTGCTAAATTCTCTTTTTTAGGAATCAAAAACAAAAAAAGTTGTGATCGATCACATGGCGCTGTCTCGTAAAGAAATCCATCAATAATCCATCAACGATATTTGAGGAGGATTTTCGCGGCCAAAGCAGCGAGAGAAATCAATTCTTTTATGGGCCAACAATCGTCAAGGAAAGGACTACACGATGGTGGTTTCAGAAGTTCCGAAAAGGTGACAACCGGCTCACACGAAAGCGAGGAAGCGGTCGTCCCAGAAAAGTGAATCGACAGACGTTGAGGCGCCAACTTCAGCAAAATCCCGAAGGAACGACTCAGATTTTGGCACAAAGCTATTGCTGAAGGATGACAGTATGGCGTTGGCTCAAAAAACCATTTTTATTTTGTGTTGAAAATAAAAATTTTTGAAAAACGGCAATTTTTTATGGGACAACCTATTAAATGTTATACACTTTTTTTCTAGGCAGAAAAACAAGGTAAACAACCAAAAGGTTGTCCTTGAAAGGTTCGGGGACTTTTTGGGACATCATGTTGTAGCATCTTTTGACTAACTAGAGTCAAATTTTTAGCTACGACCACACAAAAAGTTAGTTGTTGCACTATAAAAAACTATTGGATCTTTTTGTATCGCTTAGATACGCAAAATTACCGAGACTGACGGGCGGATTGAAGAAGTAGTCTCCGTAAGCACATAGAGCGAAAATAATGACGGTTGTCAGAGCGGTGATCGACATCCAAAGCATATTCTGATCATTATTTATCAAAAATTCGCTTTTAACAGAAATATTTCTAACCACAGAGTTGTATTTGAATGTCGCGTGTCGACTCTTCTTGGTCCTGAAGTAAGCGCAAAGAGCCTGACTTAGAGCCTGACTTACAAATTTCAGAGCCTCGCTGAAATACTCCTAATTCAGATGCTTCTCCTGGGCTTAAACATCCTAATCATCATTCTTATCTAGACAGTCGGTTTTGATGAGTTGATCGAATGGAATCCGGCACCACTTATCATGCTTGGTGAGTTGTACAAAAAGTTTGAAAGGATAACTATTAGAGTGAAATTGTTAAATTATTAGAGTGAAATTGTCAAAGAATTCAGGAATCTTTGAATCAGTCTTGAATTTAACAATTTCACTCTAATAGTTATCCTAGTAAAGAACAAGAAGATTTTTGTCTAGCTTTAGGTCTCGTTCTCCTTGTCCCAATCCAGCTTTACTCGGGAGCAATCTGGTGGAGAGTTAAAGAAAAAATGGTTCTTGGAGAAGATTATCGTCTCATTTCGATCTTCGATCCGATTTTTGAGACTGGAAATTTTATTCGTAGCTGCTGCTGGGGCAAAAGTGCAAAGGAAGCTGTGGATTTGCCTGATTTCACTCCGCAAGTTTCTCAAATAGAAACAGGAAAATTTTGAAATACTAAAAATTACTTATAGCTATGTTTTTTTTCCTGCAATTTGTTTCGATATGTGTTTATGATGGTATTTGTGATGGTGATGTACCTGTTTTCTAAGTCACCTTTGAACTTTGAAATACAATTGTTTTTTAAACGTGTACTGTTGAGATTGTAAACTAGATTTCAATAAGCCGAAAATTGACGTCACACGCCTACTCAGTGTTTCCGGTTTGCAAAAAATGGGGAGGCGACAGCGAGTAATTCCTGGCGCAAAAATGTGGTCAAGTCCGTTCGATGATGGAAAATTTCGTACGCTTTTTAAATGATCTATATAGAAATTAAAATCAAGGTACAAGGTTTCTACGTTTCGACACTTGCGATGCGTACACATCTTGGAATGAAAAGGCAATGAAAGTCTTCTGGACCGATTGGGGAAAACATCATTTACGGTCAGCTTTCCATTTTTATGCTGAAGAACAGTTTTTAGGTGAATCTGCGTTCGTGGTTTCGAACGCCATTGTACACACGGCTGAATGCGAGGCGAATTGTCCGAAAAGCGCCTACCATTGCAACTATTGCTGCAACACGTGCTGTCGACAACAGGAACATCATCCACTTGGTGGCTCGTGTATTGCCTCTCAGTGCTACTGTGTTCGAAGCAGTCACAAGAATTGAATTTTTAAAAGCTAACTTTATACTTTCGACAGTTTCCGTATAACATACAAAACAGCAAAAAAAAAGAAGTGCCTATTTTAAAATAAGAAAACCATTTCAGTACTCGACACACAATTGTCAGATTGATTTTTTCCTTCTCGATTCTTCAACTTTTTCCTCACTACAGTTTTTTCTCCTTTACCGCTTCTCTAATTTTGAAAAATTTTAACCTTGTGAATAAACAGTCAATGCCAAAGTGATCACGAATATTTTACTCGAATTAGATGGCTTCAAAAAAGGTTGAGATTAATTTTCTCTGATGGGATCCCGAGTCGACACGAGTGGCCACTATTGAGCATTTCGACGATTGAGGTTAGTTCGAATGTTAGTCATGGGAAAGCGGAGAAACTTTTTGAAGAGTACTTAAGAAAATTTTTCAGCGATAAAAGATTAGAGAAACTGGATAAGCACTCACGTCAAGTGCTGGTGTTTAAGAGGTTTCTGATCGAGAACGAGAAGCTCCATTTGGAGATTTGTTTACTGGTAAAAAAAATATAACCAATTGATGAAATATTTTCAAATTTAGATAAGGTTATACCTTTAAGAATATGGATTTTCAACCTTTCCATAGGAGTCATGAACGACAATTTTTGGTGGCTCAAATCCGGGTCCCTCAACGTTGTCGTCGGCTGGTTCAAAGCTGAATGAATTGTGAATTGGTTAGAAGAATTTAGATTACTAGTTTTACTAAATTAATTTACTAGATTTTGTATCTCTAGTATTAATATATAGTCATCTTATTAAGATTCTTTAAAATTTTGCAAGGCTCCATTTGGAGACCCATATTCATTGAATAACGATACATCGGGAAAAGGTACCTATTGTGCTTTCTATCAAAGAGCCATTTCACTGAAGAAATTTATCGTTTATGGGACCACAATGAACCCAGTTCCAGTTGTTTTTACCATTTTTACCAGTTCGATTTGTTTGTGAAGTATTTCTCATTTGGAGAACTCTTTGATGGACATTTCTCAGTCGAATAAGACTGAGAAATGGCATCACAGTAAGCTGTGAAAAGGGAAATGCTAGATGCATTGTTTTGTTTATTTTACAGTTGTTCTTGATTTTGCTTTGCCTTGTATTTTGATCCTTGTTTTTGCCTTGATACTCGATGTTTAATAAGATTTATCTTGGCCGCCGCCCCGGCATAAAAATACTATCAATAATAGTCGTTGGCTCAGTGGCCACAATTCTTTTAAAACCAATCAGCAAATTAATTCTTTTCATCGAATCACCGATCGCTTTTCGATAGCTTTTTGAGGCAAATATAATGATACAATTGCTGAGAATTGAGTGAAGAGTCTGGCCGAGTGGAGCCAGGCCACCGACTGAAAATGAAACACGCTGACTTGTAAATGAAAATTTTAAGGAAAAGTGCCAAATTTAGATTTCTGGGTTTTAAAAAAGTTATTTTAAATACATTTCCTTGACTAGTTAGATTTCTGATTCACTGATTCCGGATCCGTTTTCAGTTTTTGCCCTTGAGGCCTGTAATCTTGAGCTGGAGGCTTGAGATATCTGGGCTACAAAGTTCGAGGCCTCTTTACTTGAGTACTCATATATCTCGTGTTACTGGCCTCAAGTGCAAAAACTGAAAACGGATTCGGAATCCGTGTAGTCGTCATGGCCGACTCGGTTAGGAGTCTTGTCTCCTAATCGGAGGGTTCAATTCCTCCGAAGGTCGAGGGTTCAATTCCGAGAATCGACTCAACTTGTCTCCTAGATTAGAACTGTTAAAGCACAAAAAAAATGTAGATATAACCTAAGTCTATAAAGTTTTATCATTAGGTTTATATTAGCTCTTGTCGATCTATGAAAAACCCACTTGCTGCTATTAAATCGCTATCAACCAAATCTAGCCCACGATAACAAATAGACATAATCAGGTGACCCAAAGCGACGAAGATACCAAAAGCTAAGAACTAGATGTTTTGCTTTAAAATTACCTTGAATGGAAAATTGCACCTGTAAAAAGAGAATTATCGTGAAATAACGTTGAATTTCTCTTGTTCGTTTACTCATTGTGGGATTCGGATGAATCGTATCGAAGACAATGATTCCCAAGACAAAAGAGAAGCCACTGAAGACGATTACGGAAATGAACACGTCGACGAAAAGGATCTTTAGCTGATCCGCGGTAATTGAGCATTCCATTATGAGGGGAATTGAGATATTCGTTGAACAGGGTAGATCAAAAAGTTGACAGGGCTAAAAGCTATTAGATTGATTGAAGGATTGAACGATCAAAGTGAAAATTTTTTGCAATGTATTTTTCTAAAAAACCAAACCAGACATGTATTCAAGGTAATCGCCATTATGATCTATTATGCGTTGCCATTTATTGGATAGAGCACGGATCCCCCTCTCCCAGAAATTTTGGGCGGCTCGGCAAAAAAGTCGCGGAGCCAATTTTCGACCTGAATTGCTCCCCATCGAGTTCTGCAGCCAGCTTCCGGAAGAGATGAAAATCAGGGGAGCAAGATCAGGGCTATACGGTATTTGGGTATTAGGGTATTTGGAGTATTCTCTCAAATTTGTCTGTCAAAGAGTCAATTGTTGTTGAGCTGACATACTCTTGTTAGTTTGACTACTTATTCATAACCCAATTTGTCAAAAGCCACTTTTGAGGACGCAAAAGTATAAAGTATCAAGCAAAAAAGTAATTCAAACCTCAGGGTCACAATTGCAGGTGCAAATTTGGCTGTACAAGTCTAATAGATTTTTGATGAAAACATTTGTCGGTTCTTTGTTGCCGTTGGCAATTTAAGGTTTTTCTCAGCGCCGAAAAAATAAAGAATAAAATTGTGCGTCGAATAATACCAAAATCAATTCAAAATATAATATCCACGCAAAGTTATGAGGCAAAAGGTTAAGCCCCGCCCCCCCCCCCCGGGTTTAGGTTTTTAGCCAACAACTTTGCGTGAATATTATATTTTGAGTTGGGTTTGGTATCATTCGATGCAGAATTTTATTTTGCATCAAATGATACCAAATAATAGTCACAATCGAAGGGTTGGTGCTGAGAAAACATGAAAAACGTTAAATTCTCTACAGCAAAAAAAGAACCGACTGATGTGTTCTTTACAAGTCTAACGTCTACCCACCACAGTGGTCCGCGCAACACAAGAGCCTTCCAAATAAAGAGTCAGCATCGAGTAGTGCCACACCAAACAGAAAACGAAGAAACCACCAAAAATGAAGCCACAAAGTAAACGATAATAGAAAATGTTATTAGAGTTTCGATGAAATGTCAAAACTTTGTGTGAGCACAGAGCGATTAGATTGAAGATGGATAAATGTTGGAGGAGAAAATAGAGATCCTGAATAAAAACGTACAAATGACTCAATGATCAGTAAACCGCAAAGATCAGAGCCCATCCAACCGAAGCGAGTGAGTCAATTTGAATCATAAACGCTGATAGTTGAGGGAGAACGATGTACTGACACAGTGTCACGACAATATCACACAAATAACTCGTGATCTAAAAATTGCCTAATGAATCATCAGCATAGTTGATATAATATGTCGTGCGTTGATGTCTAATTTGTTGATTGACTTAACTTTAAAATACTGCCCGTTCTTCAATTGTAAATCAAGAAGTATTTGATTTCGAAGCTAAGTTTTATGCTAATTAGGGTCCGTTTTGCAGAAAAATTGAGCAGAAATTCTTATTCTTCATGAATCTCGTAAAATAAGCATACAAAAAAAACAACTGAACGGATGAAGGCCTAGAGGGATTCGGCCGCTTGCCTACCGTAAATACTGTAATAGTACCCCAACCCCATAATGACGGTGTCGCGTAGTCTAGCTTTGAACGAGTTTTTCTCGACACTGGTTTATGCTACAATGCGCGCTTAGGTATCAAAAAATAGCCCTGAATTTCAGCTATTTTTTGATACCAAAGACGTATTTTTTGAAAGTACGGGCGCTTTGAAAAAAATGAAATACTAAAAAACTTTTGCGACTACGCGACTATACGAGGCGGGTGTGACTTTTCTGATAGGGAAAACCGCGAGTCGATCGGTTGGACATTCATTTCTAAATGAAATTTACAAACAAAGCCTCAATATTTATGTAACAACCTAATAACTCTACATACATCTCTCTTAATCTGATCCCATTTTTAGTTGATTTTTAATTGAACTTCTCCAATGCAAACCATTTGCATAGTCAGTATTCTCCGGTACCATTTCGTTGCCAATGACTTGTGAAAATAGAGAAAATATAGGGTCAAAGTAAACGAGAAACTGGAAACAATGAAGGTGATATTGTAAGTGATATTGACTTTTTTTCGAAAAGATTCATCGGGAAAAAACATTTGATTGTATTTCTATATTAACAATAATTTCGTGAGGGACTCGATCTAAGTACTTCCCTTTTCTTGAGACACCACTGATCGTGCAGGTGAACATTCTATGAAACCGCTTTTAAAATTCTGGCTAGATTCATTGATCAAAGTCAACAAGTAAGTGCTTTTGTCATTTGTAAAGTTTAGTACCGGTGGGCCCCTGGGATGGTGGCGCCTAAGCCTCAGCCACGGGTGAGTCTCACTTGTGTTTAGGCTTGTTTCTCGCCAATGATTTAATCAAAAGTTCTGGCTAGGATATGTATTTTGAGTCCTTCTTCCCAGTGGCGACATTAGTTTTTCAAAATTCCTAATGGTGTTTAAAGGCGAGCAGTTTTTCTAACCAGTTGAGCCCTTGACAGATTTTCCGTTTGCCAGATAGTGGTTTTTCGTACGAGCAACATGAAAGATCACTTTTATAGCACCAAATCACCATCAAAAAAAAAAACGTGACAATATTTGTTTTTAAAATTAAAATCACGGATTTGTGTTTCCCAACACCAAAAACGCCAGCGTACAAGTTTTCAGCTTCATAACCAGCTTGAGTCACTGTCGTCCGAAAGATCAGTCCAGCAAAAAGTGGCTTCGTCGTGAATGTGTTAAAATCACAGAGGCATCGAATTTGTTTTACTGTCTCAAATACAGCTTTTTGTTCATTTTAATTTTGTGTTGGTTAGTTAATTTTGCAATTCACTATTTGCTTTCTATAACCCATTCGAAACCGCAGCGTTTTTTCTTTTTTTTCGTCTGCGGACCAAGCCCTTTTTTGACATTTTTTCGCTGCAGCGGTCCGTTCCCGCGTTTTTTTTGCTGACGTTTTATTTTATATTATTTCTGATAATTTCTATATATTAATCTAAGTTATCCTTCTTTTGGATAGCGTTATGGATGACGAATTGAACGATTCTTTCAATAATTTATTTATTGACAGTGATTTGGAGTCTATTGATGGATCAGATGGTCGACTAATTCAACCAGAAGTATTGTCATCAAGTTCAAGCGAATCCGAGGAAGAGGATGACGATGCGTCCGAAGCAGTTTATCCAGATGGTTGGAAAGATTTACAAGAGTCTTCTACACGATTTATTTTTGATGAAGAACGATTTGGATTTGACTTCAGTACTTTTCAAGATCCTATCGATTATTATTCTTATTTTATCGACGACAATATTTTAGTAGGCAAATCTAATAAACATGGAAAAAGGAAAACAAACTGGCAAGATTTCGATGCAAAATCTTTCAAGCTCTTCTTGGCTCTGTATCTTCAAATGGGAATCGTCAAATTACCGAGGATTCGTGACTACTGGAGTAGCAGGTCTGGATTAGGAGGATTTTCCCACATGTCCCACATTATGTCAAGAGCAAAATTTGAATCTATTCTTCGAAACCTGCATTTTTGTGATAATGAATTAGATCCTGCAGGAGATCGGCTTTATAATATTAGAGCTGTTATGGAACATTTCAATGTAAAATCAGAGGCTGCATTGATTCCGGGTAAATATGACACGTCTTTTTTGCCCACGTAATTTGTAGATCTGTTACAATTAGAATATACATGTAATGCTGAAAAACAGCAAAAAAAAAACCAATTAATTGAATGAAAATAGCTTAATTAGTGCTGCAGCGGTCCGTTCCTGAGTTTTTGCTGCAGCGATTATTCGCTGCAGAAGTTTCGAATGGGTTAAATTTTTCTTAAATTTCTGATAAAACAAGTGAAGATTTAACGGAGAAAGTGTAATTGAAGGGGAATGTCACTCGGACATTACATTACAGTCGATGGTGTCTCGATATGAGAAGAAATCTCGGTTTTCTGATGTCGATCTGTATACTTCAAATGTTTTTGGTCAAAGTTTATTAAATTTTAAAGTTCTAAATAGAATTTTCTTTTGTTAAATATATCCTTTAATGAACGACGTCATGATCTCGGGGAGGTCCGAATTGAAGCCATTCACATGCAGCTAAACAATGTTGCATTTTGAATACATGACAAACATTTGAACAACACTTATCATCAGCTGCAGTGTCAGTGAATCTACTGATACTTTGACGTTAAGCACATTGTTCATTTACTAATGTTCATGCTTTTCATCAACTCACCACTCCCACATCGTTCGGATCCTCCACCCGGAGATCATCTCCATGCGGTGCCATCGCAACAACCATTAGCCTTGCCTCGGGGACATAGTTCTTTCGATATTCATTCAACGCCTTATATAAAAACTCGTCATCGAATGTTTGTTTTTAACCCACAGCTGCACCACGGTCGAAGTCAAGACGTGAAGACGCAGTGAAGACGCAGAAACAGTCAAACTTTTTTGAGTTCCTTGTCGCCCACATGATCAGCTCATTGCAATCGATTTTTGGATAATGATTGCACATGTCACACGTTATTTGGCCACATCTGTAACAATTTTATTGTTTTTGTGTGTTGACATTTAAGTTTAGTGAAGCACGCTACATGCAACTTGGAAACTTAGGGATGGAGGATGATAAATTGGTCACAAATTTGTGTTTTCAATATGAAAAAATAATTTTAAAGAATTTTTTTTAAAGCCTGATTCTTTTCATCGAAAAATCGAGTGCTCAAGCTGTCAGTTTGGGAGTGGGACAAATGCGATCTTTTTTTCGCGCACCCGGACATTTGCGCACCTTGCCCATTAGCGCACCTTTTTTCGCGTTTTAAAAAAGCTAATATTAACCAATTTCTATTCCAAAAGTTGTTTTTCTAGGTAATTTGAGGGTGTCGAATTCAAATTTTGACATAACAGAGCGTGTGGAACCAACTTGAAAGACAAAACGGCTAGATCAAATTACAGAAAATTGTCGATTTTTCTCTTTGTATAACTCTGTCCGTTTGTTTCCACAAGCTCTGATATGTCAAAATTTCGATTCTACGCCCTAAAATTACCTAGAAAAACAACTTTTGGAATAGAAATTGGTTAACATTAGCTTTTTAGAGCTTTTTTAAAACGCGAAAAAAGGTGCGCTAATGGGCAAGGTGCGGAAAAAAGGTGCGCAAATGTCCAGGTGCGCAAAAAAAGGTAGCATTTGTCCCACCCCCGTCAGTTTCAAACAAACCCTTCAACCGCGCCGAAATTCTGACAAATTTGCTGCATAGAAGTCCTTCTGTCAAAGTGGCACTGTTGGAGATCGTTGTGTTGACGTCGATTAAAGTCCATCACTTCAACCTGGAATTATCATTCATTTTTTAAAAATCAAGTTAGATGATACAATTTCCCCAACCTTAGCAATTACAACTAAACAGCAAACCGATTAGGAAGAGTCGTCGAATTCGGATCAAATTTGATATAGGCGGTAGTTTTTCGTTTGCAGCTTCTATCTGAAAAGTTATGAACGTTTTGATTTATTTTTTAAAATCACAAATTTGAATTGAATATTTAAAATTTAAACTATCAGCTTTCAACCCGTTTATCACTAGTAACTAATGTTTCACAATAATGTTACCTGTTGTGCTCGCGCCTTTCGTCCCTTTATCGCTAGCAGTTGCAAACGCTCTGATTCGGAGCTTTCCTAAAGTTTATTGTTGAAAATTTGAGAAAGTCTACATTTTACAGTAAAAATGAAAACACTACTCTGGTAAAACGGTCGAATCTCATTAGTAAACAATCGAAAATGTGCCTGTGAAACGGTTTCAATTTCAAATAAGCGATCGAAAAGAAACAGAATTTAAAGGCAAGTGATCAAAGAACAAAATTTACTACCAAGAGATTTAATTTAAGCGTTATTTAATGATTTCAAATTAAACAAACTGTGTTCACGGGCTTTTGTCTCATTTTCGCTGCCTTGAACGCTTCGGCGGCAACTCGAAGCTCCTCGTTTCTCTTCAGCCACACCGTTGACTCCATTCTGTAACAACAATAATTTAATAAAAGCATCGAAAACAACAAAACAAACAAAAGGAAAATTAAAACAGTCTTTTATGCAAGGGCACGTGTTTTTTTGGCTCTCTTTCCGAGAACGTCGAAAACGAAAACGTCCTCTTTTCGTTTTTGTCGACTGTTTGTTTGTGGCGGCTCTTAGAGGTCATTTCTGTGCCAAAATCGATGAGTCATATCAAAAAAAAAGCAGAAAGTAACGTGTTTTGCAATGATGATCATATAAATGATTCCTGAAAATGATGATTCCTTTTAAAATATAGTTTTCTTTCTTAGAAAGCAACCCTCAAGATCAAAGAAGCCACGAAAAGGTTTTGTAAAGAAATATTGTTCGCGTGCTTGGTACTCTTCACTCAAGACACGTTATTTCTTGTTTCGAGATATCTGATCTCACTTGAACTAAAAACACTTTATTCAATAGCCGACTGACTCGGAATCTTTGGGCTCTCACTTGAGCAACTTTCACACAAGATCGACAATTGAATTAAAAGCGACGATAAAAAACAGAAACAATTTCGTCCTAATTAGGACACAACTTTCACACAACGAGAGGAAAGCAGAAAGAAAAATGAAAGATAACCGGGGAGTGGGACAAATGCGACCTTTTTTTGCGCACCCGGACATTTGCGCACCTTTTTTTCCGCACCTTGCCCATTAGCGCACCTTTTTTCGCGTTTTAAAAAGCTCTAAAAAGCTAATGTTAACCAATTTCTATTCCAAAAGTTGTTTTTCTAGGTAATTTTAGGGCGTAGAATCGAAATTTTGACATATCAGAGCTTGTGGAAACAAACGGACGGAGTTATACAAAGAGAAAAATCGACAATTTTCTGTAATTTAATCTAGCCGTTTTGTCTTGGTTTTGGTGGTGGGTTCCACACGTGGTTGGTTGGTGGTTGGTTCCACACAAATTGGTTCCACACGCTCTGTTATGTCAAAATTTCGATTCTACGCCCTAAAATTACCTAGAAAAACAACTTTTGGAATAGAAATTCTCATTCAGAAATTTAGAGCTTTTTTAAAACGCGAAAAAAGGTGCGCTAATGGGCAAGGTGCGGAAAAAAAGGTGCGCAAATGTCCGGGTGCGCAAAAAAAAGGTCGCATTTGTCCCACTCTCGATAACCGAAACCAAAATGAACAACAGTTGCGTTATATAGGCTTTGATACAAGATACTCAGCTAACAAGCTACAAAACAATAAATGATTTGGGGCGCGAAATAGAATGAAGGCGCACCGATTTCCTCAATATTTTTCCAATTTTTAGGCTGCCAGAGTTAGGTCACTTTTTAGTGGCTATTCGCCACAGGTTTGTTTAAATATAAGCCTAACTTGCAACCAAAATGAGGTCAGAATTCATGATCTTGGGGAGAAAATGAGAAACACTTTGCCTATGGTTTTCTTCGAAGAAATATATTTTCTCAAAACCATTATAAGTTTCTATTTTCGAAGTTAGTTCAATTTGGTTATGCAACGAAAACTCAACCACTTCAGTTTGATGACGCATCTTTTTTCTTTGCGATAAGAGGTAAAAGACACAAGAGCTCGTCAACAGCTCACATTCTCTTCTTCATTGATTTGGCAGAATGTTTTATTCTTTATTGAGTCTTTCCGTTCTTTATTGAGTCTTTCACCATCTCATTTACATTTTAAACCTGTTAAAATTTACATTTATTGAAAGTTGATCCTCTAATTGTATTCCCATATCATATCGCAGCTTTAAATTCTTTTTTCTCTCTGTGCAAATCATTTTGTCTTATTGACTACGCTTTATTTCATGTCTTGAATAAAGTATGAATATATTGTGCTTTATGCATTTTACTAGTCAACTTTCTTGCATTCATCCAAAATTATTCGATCATTTACACAATATTTACTTTTCGGGCATTTTCAGTAATATCGAATTCCACAAAGAGTCTCTTTGAAATGAAGCCCTCGAAATCAATGGTTGATCGCGAAAGACCAGGTGTGACTAATTTTGTGATCCAATAAAATTGTATGATGCATCTAGAGATCGATGAGCTGCAATCAATTATAGAAAAAAAAGCGACAAGACATTATCAGTTAACGGGGTTCTCTCTGTTGATCTTTAGGAATAAAATAGGAACTAAATAGGAACTATACAGTAACCAAATAGGAACTAGAAAGGAACTAAATAGGAACTAAATAGGAACTAAAAAGGAACTAAATAGGAACTATACAGTAACCAAATAGGAACTATAAAGGAACCAAATAGGAACTATAGAGTAACCAAATAGGAACTAAATAGGAACTATCAAGTAACCAAATAGGAACTATAAAGGAACTATATAGGAACTAAATAGGAACTAAATAGGATCTATACAGTAGCCAAATAGGAACTAGAAAGGAACTAATTAGGAACTATAAAGGAACTATATCGGAACTAAATAGGAACCTAATTGATTGATTGAGCTGATGTAGATAGCTGATGCTGATGCTGATGTAGATAGATTGAATACTTCTCATTTAATCATTAAGCATTCAGCCTCTGCTCACTACCCATTCGCCACTCAACCCCGAGTAGCAAAAGTGATGATAGCGACAAAGATCGGAATCGCCGAATCGCTTAACTTACTCAAAGTGAACAAAGATTGTCGAGACTATATTCGTCTGCGTGGGCCACTTCACAAAAAGGAATTCGAAGTGAATGATTGTGCCATCGATTTCGCGTTGATCCAAACAGACTGGGAGTTCATCTTTGGATTACGACAAAGAAATAGCGATCGACAGTTCTGTTTCAAATATCGTCACCCATATTGGCATATCGCTGACAACGCGGCAGAGGGTTTCCATGATTATCGTCGATATGTATACCTGAAGGACGGGAAACAAAAGCTTTTCAACATTTTCCAAAGTATTCACTCATGCAAATTGTTGAAGTTGAGAGGTTGGGCACGATGGCGACCCGGGGGAATGCAGTGGAGACTCTCTGAACCGCTACGAAAAGATTTCATCAAAAATTTCCCAATCAAGATGAAAATCGTGAAAGAATATCGGCTAGAGAAATTGCAAGACTACTCAATGGAACTTTTTGAGAAAGCCACTGAAATGATTTCCCCAGGAGCCGATGTTTTTGACATAAGATTTGGTGGGAAGATAACTATCTCGCCGTCAGATATTGAAATTTTAAAGGACAAAATCAAGTCAATGGCAACTGGTTGTCAAAGAATTGTAATCACTAATCCAATTAACGAAATTTTAAACACATTGAAAAGCACAAAAGCTAAAGTAATCTATTTGATAACCCCAAACCAAGTGGCTCTAGACTTTTACTCGAAGAAATTTCAATTTCGAGAGAGCTCAATGATTCAATTAGACAATTCATATCATGTCACAGGTATTCACGAGATCGGTGATGAGATTAGTAAAATGGAATCACCAAAAATCGATGAGATTCTCGAAAAATTGAAAGTAAACGGAGTCGGAGCCGCCCGTAAAAAAATTTCCTTTCCACTAAAAGCCGACAAGCATGCCCTTTTGATGTTTGTTGATGATGGTCCGTTTATTTTATTTATCTATCCATTTTCACTTTTCTAGATTTTTCTAGATTTCAAGATTTAAATAAATGATTCTGTTGGTTAAATTTCTTCTTTGATTTTGTTGTCTTATGCGGATTAGGAGAAACATGATTCATTGCTCTCTTTTGGAATAAAATATTGTACTAAATTAACAGCATTGCACAACAAAAGCTAACAGTTAAATTTTGTGTGCAAACAGTTTAAAAACGGGAGACGCATCAATATCCATGCAAAAATTTTGGTAATTTTACAATATCATATTTCTATTAGGTTCTTACGTGATTCTCGAGGCTTTGTTTGAAAGTTTCATTTAGAAATGAATATCCAACCAATCGACTTGCGGTTTTCTCTATCAGAAAGCCGTATTATTTCTCTATAACCTGCCACTTCAAAAGTTATCAAAAGCTCATGTTATCTAATTTTTAAAAGACAAGTCGTCACCAGCTCAAGATCGACACTTAGCACCTGGAAAAGAAATGCTTGTAAAGAAATATTGTTTGCGTGCTTGGTACTCTTCACTCAAGACACGTTATTTCTTGTTTTGAGATATCTAATCTCTCTTGAACTAAAAAAGCACTTTATTCAATAGCCGATTGACTCGGAATCTTTGGGCTCTCACTTGAGCAACTTTCACACAATATCGACAATTGAATTAAAGTAACGATAAAAACAGAAACAATTTCGTCCTAATTAGGACACAACTTTCACACAAAAATGAGAGGAAAGCAGAAAAAAGAAATGAAAGATAACAAAAAACAAATGAACAACAGTTATCTTATATAGGCTTTAACACAAGATACTCAGCTAACAAGCTACAAAACAATAAATGATTTGGGGCGCGAAATAAAACGAAGGCGCACCGATTTCCTCAATATTTTTCCAATTTTTAGGCTGTCAGAGTTAGATAACTTTTAGTGACTATTCGCCACAATGCTCTCACAAAGAGGGGTTTTCAGATAGGAAATTTTGATTCTTACAGGGAGAAGGCATGGAGCATTATGGAGTTTTGACTAGTGACCTGATCCATTCGATAGAGCTATTAGGTTGTTACTTAAGTTTTGAGGCTTTGTTTGAAAGTTTCATTTAGAAATGAATATCCAACCAATCGACTTGCGGTTTGCTTCAAAAAAACTCATTCTTTTGTTACTTTTAGTTAAGCTTTATGCTAATTAGGGTCCGTTTTGCAGAAAAATTGAGCAGAAATTCTTATTTTTCATGAATTTCTTAAAATAAGCATACAAAGAAAACAACTGAACGGATGAAGCTGAAAATTCGGCTACCTACCTAACTTTTTATGCTCAATCTTTTTTTTCCGGCACCAAAATGGGTTTCTGCGGCAGAAAGTTCGCAATTGCAACTTTGACTTTCATTATTTTTCACTACCTGACTTTCACTCACTTTCACTACCACCGAAACCGTGCCACTCAGGCTTGTTTACAACGCAAAAGGATTCCTTGTCTTTCTTGGCCGGTCTGTTCACCCGATTTGAATGTGATAGAAAATGTTTGGGCTTTTATGGTTCGCAAAAGCTACGACGGGAAAAAGACATATGAGAACGTTGATGAACTCAAACCAGCGATCATTGATGCTTGGCACCAGGTTGCATCGGTGCAATTTTCGACTTTTCAATCCAACCCACTCTACCCATAGGCTAAACCGGACTGAATGGACTGAAAAATGAAATGGACTTTTCAATCCGACTGGGTCAACCCAGTGAACTGGACTGAATCAAATGTCTAGTACTTAAACAAAAAGAATCTAGAATCTAGAATCGACAAAAAGAATCCGAGCGAACAGTCAACAGGCTTTGCAAGCGCCAAAAGGTGATCGAGAATGTTTATCGAAAAGCAAAAAGTGGCCGATCGCGAAAAACAACGTCTCAACAGGATCAAAGCTTGAAGAATTATCATTTTTCGACACCGATTCGCTGTTGATGGACAAAATTACATCAAAAGAAACTTTGGAATAAAAGTATCAGTCCGAACAATAAAGAGGTGACTTAAAACATTTAAAACACTTGAAACCTTAAAACATTTCGATTATTTTCACAACGACCAACTAGAAAACCCTTGATAGTTCTGATTGGGGTTTTTAAAAAGTCATTTTTTTTTGCAGAAGCCTTGCATTGAAAATCTTTGATAAATTTGAGATGCACAGAAGTTTAACAGGCTAACAGATATCTTTGGCTTTACCCAAACTTCTAAGGACGTGGATTTGATTGGTTTAGCACTGATAAAATAAAAGTTTTGGAAGAATTTCACTAAACTTCTTGGCAGAAATTAGAGCACGAAAAGGATCCTAAACTTAAAAAGGTCTTTATTAGCCAAATTTTGATCCATTGGAAGAATAGGTCTTTAATACTATACAGGTGCGGCAAAAGTTCCGACACTTTTTGTAAACGGGCAGTTTGACTTGGAAAAAATGCGATTTTTGAAAAATTAACACCGGATTATAAAAATTCAGATATTTTTACCCCCTAATATACTTTTTTACACAAAAAATTGTCATCTAAACAACCTTTTGATGAGGATGTTTAAAGGTCGTTACAGCAGTTTTTTTTGCTGTTGAGATTTGGGTGCCCTTCGTAGAATCGCTTGAAAATCTTTCGTTTTTGAGATATAAAGTTTTTTTGTGGCTTATTTTCAAGAAAAACTCAGTTCTATCAAATGGTAACAGCAGTTTTTGGAAAAAATTTCATTCTGCCAAGTTTAAGTCAACTTTCGCAAAAATCTTCAGCGACCAGACCAGGATATAAAAAATTCTCGTCAAAAAGTTATTGAAAGTTGAAATCTTTTTATGAAAATGGCTATATTGGGGTGAAACTACGTAAATTTTTAGAATCCGGCGTTAGTTTTTTGAAATTCACGGGTTTTTGAAGCCAAAAAAATTACTGCTTACAGAAAAAGTGTCAGAACTTTTGCCGCACCCTGTAAAATCAATCAAAAATTAGGCATTTTCAAGAGTACACTACAGTTTCGAACAATTTTCATTCTAAATTCTATTTACAAGAAATCTGGAAACTTTTTGTTTTCCCGGGTACACTATCAAATATTGCATAAAAATCTTTGTTCAAATTAAGTCTATGGGGAGTAAAAATTAGCAAAGGTGACAGTTTTCGCAATTAAAATTTTCCGCCACTTCCTCAAGTTTCAAAGTTTCGATCGATTTCTCAAAAACCTAGATTTCTCATAAAAATGATTGATGTTATCTATATCTACATGGCTTACGGTATTCCGTCTGCAATTCTAACAATACTTGTTATGATTTGTATTCTAAGAGATCGATCACTGATGGAAGGATCTTTTTATCGTTGTTATTTATTTGTGTTGTTTGTGGTAAGGAAATTTTCTGAATTTACTTGTACTAAAATGCAAATGCACACACCTGGCGCACCCGGTTTCATTAATTTTTATTTAATTTAATAATTTAATAGACTAAGAAGCAATTTGGTACACCAGAACACGAGCGTTTCTAATCCAAAGAGTTGGAGACATCATCAGGTCTTTCATGGCCGAAAGATAGTAAAGATTAGTACAGAAGAAGATACTATAAAGTTTAGGAAATCCGAAGGAGTGTGTTTACTTTTTGCGCATAAGTACAGCCCATATCACTGGCAGAAAACAATTCGTCAAAAATTGCGTTTAAAAATTGAACTCCTTGAGCAAAAAGAAGATCCCAAAAGTGGACAAAGTCAAATTATTTGTCAATTGATTGTGAGTAGGGTTGTTACAAAGGTTATGCTAAGCCAGGGCAGGTCAGAACCCAGGTCTTGAACTGACCTGGCCTGGTTCTAGGGTTCGTAAGTCTTGCCCTGGCTTACAGACTATAAGATTCGTGCCTGACTATCCCTGACTATAAACCCCCTTTAGAACAATCTATCTGAATACCTGAATAGCTGTAAAACTCAGAATCCAGGTCTTGAACTAGCCTGACCTTCCTTGACCTGGTTAAGGAGAATAGGTCTCAACCTAGGTCTCAACCAGGCTCTAGAATGATCTGGCCTGTTTTCAAACTAGGTTTCGGTCCAGTCTGATTGTACCACTGGTTTACCCTGTCTTGGCTTACAGGCCATAGAAATGTCATTTGTCAAATTCAGTACATCACGACCTATCTGAATACGTGGATAGCCGTAAAGCTTCGCGGTCTCCACTCGATGACTTGGATCTATATGGGAATCCAGAACTATTTCCCGCCGTATCGCCTTTGCTACGCGTACCAATTTGCCTCGTTTTACATAGAAAATGGAGCACTGATCTTGCTGCATTTGAATCGATTCACTGCGATTTGGCTGCCAATCAAGCATATCAAAGTAAGGTGTTTTTCGAGCTTTGAAAACATTTTAGATTTGCATAAAACCTAGATTTGGAATCTGCGAAACATAGCCTATGCAGGAATTCTCATTTATCTGATTGGTTTCTCGATTTGCTATTCCGATTTCTATATTGGTCCGCTTTATGTAGAAGTGAATGGGCTAGCTGTAGACAATCCAGCACTAATGCCAGTAGGATTACATTTAAAAAACCCTGTAAATATTTTTCAGGAATTCTGGCTATCCGCTGCGTTGATGGGCCCGCTTGGGCACACGTTCCCATGGATTGCGCTCGCGTTGGATCTGTTGACACTCGGAAAGATTCTCTATTTGAGGATTATGGGGAGACAGTGAGTCTTACAAAGTAACTTGTCTTAGTCTCAGATCAGCCAACTAAAAAAAAAGTCAGTCAGTCTCACTAGTCAGGCCAGCCAGTCAGAGTCAGACCATGGACCTGATCTCGAGGGCCAGCTCTATCTGCATACGCTGTGTTTGCATTCTGGTGAATTCGTTAGAATTCTTGCAAATGTTTCCACAAAGTGAGTTAAAAGGTTTTTTAGAACAAACGGAGTTTTGGTGGAGATCAACTTGTTCTTGATTTGCCTCAGCACTTTCGTCGTTCAACTGACATTAATGTTGTACTTTGATCGTGCTTTCAGCCTTTGGAATACCCCAGAGATGTCGCTTTTAATGGTGGGTTGTCTGGGTACATTTTTGTATTTGAGTAATTGAATGGGAACAGAAAATGAAAAGAAATTAGTTTTGAAAATAGAGAAGACAGTTTTTGATTGAGGCTATTTAGTTTTTGATTTGAAAACAATGCTTTCAGCTAAGTGTTGTGATTGATTTGTTCACATTGAGCGAAGCGTACATTGGATTGGCGTTGAATCGAACACTGCGCCAAAAATTGTTTGCCATGCTTTTTGGGAAGAAAAGAAATGGTGGAAAAGTATCGGAAACGACGAGCGCTTTTCAGCGATCGAACAAAGAGACAAAACAATTCTCGCAGAGTGTAGTAAAGTTTTGACATTTTCGAAGATAATAAATCTGGATTGAGAATTGCACAATTTCAATAATATAGAACAATTCTTTTAGCACTTTAAAAGAATCCTCATTAAATTTGACTTAAGAAAAGTTGAATTTGTTTTTTACACCAACATGTAAGAAAATAGAGAAAAATTGCGCCAAAATTGCCCTACTTACCTACAGAAGCCGATCAACTTTGACAGTTTATAACTCGAGATACAGGTATTCGATCGACTTGCGGTTGGTTTTAAAAGAATCCTCATCAAATTTGACGAGAGAAAAGTGCTATTTATTTTGTACACTCACCTGTAAGAACGTAGAGAAAAACGGCTTTGAAACGTAGTGCGCTAAAGTGCTTTGTTCGTAGTGCGACCATTTTAATCGAATGAAATTCGAAAAATTCTAATCCATTTCTCGCTACATTTTGGCTGTACTTTTTGCTTGAAATTTAAAAAATATACTTTCTGGATTATCAATGCAATCAAAATATCAAGGCTTGTTTTAAAACTAGTAATGAAATAAAGAAACTTGGTCACAAAATAAGTAATAACAAAATAATTCTCTGCCTTTTCTCGAAAGTCATCTTCCACCACTTTTCACATCAATAATTCGTCGATTTAACGCAAATCATAGAGGCAAAGAAAAAAGGTTTGCGAAAATTCGAGTTGATCACGAAACTCTTCATCGATCGACTTATGCCAATAAAGGATTTGGAAAAAAACAGATTCAAAACCGATTTCGGCAAGCTGGAGACGATTGTTCCAGACTGTTTTGGGTTAGACTCACTAATTCCCGAGTATTTGCTTCAACTCCGTAATCCGCCGAGACAAGGCTGTGTACATGAGCAAAAGTGTCGACTCGGTGACTATCCGCTAGTGAATAAGTGCTAGTGCTTTCCCGAAACTGAGTCACAAAAATGGACAATTCCCTTTTATTCCTGATGCTCGAAAAGTTCCATCACTCATTTGGGCAATTATTTCAGGTTCATTGAGCTTCTGAATGAAACGGTTAACAGGTTAACATTGTGATTTACCGGATTTGAGTTCATTCAGATTTCTTCCGTATTGCTATTTCCATTGTTCGCGAATTGCTCATGGATTACTGAAAAAGCCAACTTCGTGATGTTACTCGATTTACCGAATAATTACAAAGACAATGAAATGTTTCCATGTTTGACGGTTGATATGAAAATATTGATGATATCCGTTGAATGCATTACAAAAGTCTTAGATGAGCGTTCGATTGAAGAGAGAACTTTTACATTGATTAATCGGGAGTTTAAAGCGATTTTTGAACTTGTATTTGGAATTGGTTCCGACAAATGAATGTTTTGATCTGAAAGACAAAAAGAAATCGTTTGTCCAATTGCTGAAGTAAAATGAAGAAGTTCAAGAGCAAAGAGTCAAGAAAAATTCAAAATAGGCTCTCAAACTGGACGAACCAAAACCAAATCTCTATTCGAACGCATCAAAACGAACAATTCAACTTCTCAAGATCGACGATTTTTCAAACGATCAAGCTTCAAATATTTCTCAAAATGTTAATAAAATTCTTTTTTTACTTCTTTTTTAAATCATAAAACAAAAAACTAAACATAAACATTTAAAGACACTTTTTTTTGTGTACAAAGATTGTGTTAAAGTTTAGACTGCGTTCACTGCAAAGAACTCTTATACTTAAATGCAGATTTATTCATTTATTGAATGTAGAAAATTTAAACTCAAGCCTTGCAAATTGGCCTCAAAATCAGCGTTGAGCCATCATTTTGACAAATTCCTCATAGTTGACTTGTCCATCTCCATTCACATCAGCTTCTTCGATCATTTCTTCGACTTCTTGTTCCGTTAAAGAGTCACCCAAAGATGTCATTACGTGACGTAATTCTTCAGCAGAGATGAAACCATTCTGATCTTTATCGAAAACCTGAAACAAGAGGATTACATTTTGCGACTTTTTGTGCTTTTGCTTTGAAAAGTACTTGGATTTAACTTGAATTTTCAAAAATATAGTAGAAGATCTTATACATAGTAGATAGTAGAAGATCTTATACATAGTAGATAGTAGAAGATCTTATACATAGTAGATAGTAGAAGATCTTATACATAGTAGATAGTAGAAGATCTTATACATAGTAGATAGTAGAAGATCTTATACATAGTAGATAGTAGAAGATCTTATACATAGTAGATAGTAGAAGATCTTATACATTTGCAATTCGGTTATCTAGGTGATCAATGAAACATATCATGTCACATTTGCATTTATGAAAATTTAATGAAAGTAAATTTGCATTTATGGCATTGTTAATGAGAAATTGTTCGGCGGCGCTTTTTTTTGGCCAGCATGCGGTTTTACCACCATCCGAATTGTTATATTAGTTTTTAAATTCAAATTTTTTAGCCATATGATCGTTTAGTTAACCGAATTGTACCAAAGATCTTAACATTTATCACAATTTTTGCGTTTAGAAGATTTAACAAATCTGACTATGAGAGCTTGAGATGTTAGTGCCACTTTTGGTCATTTGGTTGAGTTTAAAAGCCTTTAGACAAGGTACAATAACTAACAAGGAAGCCCTTTGTTAAATTACGGAATTCATTAGATACTTTAAGTGCTATAGAACTTCAAAAGCTTCATATTTTTGAGCTAGAAAACTTGACTAATAAGAAACATTTCATTTGTATCAGACCTGAAACGCTTTTCGTAAATCGTCCTCCCCAGCTGGTGCTTTCATCTTTTGTGCCATCATTTGGAGAAACTCCGGGAAATCAACGGTTCGATTCCCATCCGAATCCCCATCATTTATCATCAATTGTAGCTCAGCTTCAGTGGGGTTTTGTCCCAAAGATCTCATCACTGTTCCCAATTCACCGGCTGTGATCGTTCCACTCTGATCTTTATCAAAAAGAGAGAAAACTTCTCGAAATTCAGCGATTTGCTCAGCGGAAAGCTCGTCAGCCATTTCGAAGTGACGAAATTAAGCTGAAAATGAAATGAAATCAAGAATGTTGAACAAGAATTTTTATAAGCTTATGCTAGAGTTTAAAATTGTTAGACCTAATTGGGCAGTCGATGAAAAATACGTAAAATTTAACTCCAAAATTCAAGAATTTAATCAGAAAACAATGAATTTATCGAAAAATAAGATTTTCATCTTAAAATTGGGTAGATTTCTCAAAAAAAATCGGCTAAATACTCAATTTACGACGCTAATTTACGATATTTTCGAGGCGTTTTCATTTAGAGACAAAAATTCACAGCGTTTCGCTTGTGAAACCTTTTAAAGTTTACCTAGAAATTTGTCGGAAAGTAATTGCAAGCCAGAGCCAAGATTTTAAGAGAAATTTTCTTTTTCTTTTTTAGAAATCAATTTTTGTGTTGGCTCGACATTCCATTATAATTGCGCATTGACAATTTTATGTGAAAGCTTTCTTTCTCCTTTCATTTTCCTTTCTTTTTCTTATTTTATGAAAAAAACAATTTGAATTTCAGATAGAATTCATGAAAATTTGGTAGACTTTTACGGGATTTATCCATTTTTAATATGCTCACCTCAGTCAACAGCTTCCAAGGAATACTCTTGAACTCGAGCAAATGCTGATAAAAGTCAACTGCTGAGAATTTCAATAATCGAAGATTGATGGCAAGCAATGGTAGCAAAGCAAATAAAGCGACATTTGTGCTTTTTTTTCTGATTAAATTTTCATCTTGAGTTTTCAAGTATTGCGTTAGCGCAATAATCGCCGCCAAATGAGATTTTCAAGCAATACGTGTTTCGAAGTAAACTTTTTGAAGGAAAACAATCTCAAGAAAATATTTAGAGCAAAAGAAAGTTGAAATCAGATTTGCGTTGATGAAATTAACCCTAAAGGACATGGCCAACCAAATCAGAGGCGTGGATTTGCGATAACTTGATCGCTAATCGCCAAATAACTTTACAAATCTGGCATTAAGTTTGTAAGATTTTGAGGATTTTCCGTTTAAAATCTCATTTAAATCTATTGATTCTACGCTGAGATATTAGCAATTAAAGAAAGAGTCAAGACTTATTTTACAACCTAAAATGGCTTTGATTTACAAGGGAAGGTCACAAGGCTGAGGTGGCCAAATGATATGAGCCGTGAGATCAGACGACGCAGAATTTTACGCTGATTCCGATACTACTATCCGCTTGATGTTTAATTGCTCGAATTTGCTTTATTTTAACCGCACAATAAGGATTATGATGTCTTTTAATTGATAACATTTTAATTTCATTCATTCAGTTATAGATTGCCGTCACGTGAGCTCATTTTTTTGTTATTTTGTTTTTTATCAATTAAAAGATGTCATAATATTTATTGTAAAGTTAAAATAGCGAATTCGAGCGGTTAAACATCAAAATAAAATGAAAACAAAAGGAAGGGATCGAACCTGGGCAAGACTTGATGGCTTGTTTCGAAAACAGGACTCTTATCCACTAAACCATAGGCTCACACGGTGAAAGAAGCCTTATATAGGGACTGCTTTTTGACCTCTAATTTGACCTCAAACTTGTTTGATTCCTCGCGTTTTCGAATCATTTTGCCAAACACAGAAAGCAGCATCGGAATACGCGTAAAATTCTGCATCGTATGGTTTATGGTTCATTTCAATTTGACCACCTCAGCCCTGTGATCTTTCCTTGTTAGCCATGAGTGTGATCTGTCCAGCAATTTCGTTCTAGCCCAGTTTAATATCATTTGAATGCCAAAATTCAGTGAATAAGGTTTCGAAGTACAGATGTTCAAAGCATCAATTGAGATTGTCAATTTTGTGATTCAGTCAATTAAAGCCAAAATTCATTCAATTCAGAGTTGTTAGAGGTATTGATTGAATCGGATTCGTTGTTTTTCTCTTTATTTTGCGCTCTTTTGGCTTTTGCAAGCAGATAGCCGTGATTAAGCTGTAAATAATTTCATTGGAAAGAAAAGTTTCCAACCATACCTGGTAACAAAATAAAAGCAAAAATATTGCAATGTATTGAGAATTTCAATGAATAGAAATAACGAAAACATATCGAAAAAGGCGTTTATGAAAATGCGGATGATATCGTAGAAAATCGAGGCTGCAAAGGTGATCACCGAATATGAGAGCATCTGAAGGAAAAACTTGCTGTAAAGGATTTAGTAAAGAATATTTACTTGGTTAGTGATTCAGTTAAGCTTTCAGTTTGATTAAAAGACAGACAGACAGACAGAGAGACACTGCTCTTTTATATATAGTAGATAAGATTAGTTTGATTAATTGATTAATAACTTTATAGATTTTTTTTGGAGCAAAAAACAAAAGAATTGGTGGCAAGGGAAGTCAAACCTGCGACCTCTCTTCCGTTCGTTTGAGAAACGCGCGCGTTAACCACTCGGCCATGCTCTAGTAGATGGCGCAGTACGAGCGCACTTGTCTTTAGCCCACACGACGCGAGCTCCGCCCGCGTCGGCACTTTTGGTTTTTTAAAAATTTAAAAACATGTTGCATAACTCCATGGAATTCTAAGCCGAACTAACCATAAGTCATTTGAAATGGTCCTCTGGGGGCTGAGTAGTGCGTACAGACAGACAAACAGACACAACAGACACAACTCCTTTATATATATATATAATAGTTTGCATGGAACTGTTTCAGTCGAGCACTCTAAAGCCTGCCGTGGCTACTGTAACCCAATCCAAATCCTTTTACCCAGCCAAGCCTCGTCTTTGTAGAATTTTGCATAAAGCTGATTGATGTTACGGTACTCTTTATGGTGACCGTACCATCCGGATTATGGTAACTGACTGCCACTGGAGCTACAGTAACCCAACCAAGACATTTCTGCGACAAGTCAAGACTCCTTTTTGTAGACTGTTTCTTAACTAGTCGATTTTAAGGTACTATCCGTATCACTTTAACTTTAATTTACTATCCGTTTACCGCACCATCCGGATTACGGTAAATTATGCTGACAAGGGTATTTTTTGGAACGCTTATCCAAATTAGTATCGACTCGCCTGTATCATCAGCAAACTTTCCACTCGACTCACATTCATTGTCCCGTCTTTTTTCAACTAAAATCATTAGATAAATACTTTAGCTTTAACTTTATAGTATTGTTACTGAAAAAAAAAGTTCTTTGAACTTTTCAAGCCAGCCTTTTCCTCATACAATTTTCATTCTCCGATTCGTCATGAAATCTAACGAGCACATCAGAAAATATGGAATATAGATCCCAAAATATTGCCAATAGCCATAAAATATATCATTGTATGCGTGAAGATTGATCTGATCGATGCCAATTTGAATGAACCATGGGAACAACATTTGAGCAAATGGCCATTTCGAGACCAACCAAAAGTATTGACCGTCAAAAGAAACGGCAAAGAAGCGGCTGAATGGGTATTTGTTTTATTGAAATTTACATTTAACTGGCCACTAAGAGATTCACAAGTCCAGCTTTCTCACCTACCCCAATGAGATGAGTAGCTGAGTGGTTTGAGCGATCTCCCGAAAAGCTCCGTACCAAACATAGTCATTGACAAGACTTTTGAGTGTTTTGGTGAGCGATTGATGACAACTAGAACATCGATCGATGTTTAGAGATCGGAAAACAAATGACACAACTAACTGAAAGACATCGATCATGTTTGGAAGCTGGCAAATATTGTCGATCAAGTAGCAAATCGCGAAAAGAATTTTGCAAAAGGATTCACTTGTGGCCAGTATTCTGGAATTTGATTTTAGCTGATCTAGCAAAATCGCTTACCGAACTTGAAAAGCCAACAAAGTATTCGATAATGGTGCTGTGATTGCGAATGCGTTCACAAAAATACTTACAAAGAGAATCTGAACAAAAGAGATCTTTCACGGAACTCTTCTAATAGTAAAAATCTTACCAAAAAAGCGCTAATCTTCATTATATCTTGAACTTTGGAGGAAAAATCCCAATCGATTTCGATTGGTTGATTCAAGAGTTGCCAATTTGTCATCGAGAAATTCCACAAATACCAATGGATAACTGAATTTGGTATTTGCAAAGTTTTTTTTTCTTTTACATTTCAGGTATGTAAATTTGCGGGAAAAATCATACCGTAAATACTTGAATACCCCATCCCCATAATGACGGTGCGTAGTGTTGGGTAGTCTAGCTTTGAAAGAGTTTTTCTCGACACTGGTTTATGCTACAATGCCCATTTATGCCCATTTATGCCGATTGCCCAATGTCAAAATAGAAGTTGTAGAATTGACTAGGTTGATCAAAATGGTGCAAAAATCAGCTGCCCATACGCCCGCCCGATATCTGGCATAGAAGTTTGCGATATCTCGCTTAAAAGGCTTTTCTCGCGCGATAATGACGAAGCAAGCGAAGTGTTGGGTAGTCTAGCTTTGAAAGAGTTTTTCTCGACACTGGTTTATGCTACAATGCGCACTCCGCTACAATACAACAGAGTCTACAATGCTACAATACAATAGAGTCTGTAAGCGAAGCCAGCTCTAAAGCAGGTCAGAGGTCTAGGCCAGAGAGCCAACGCCGATCCAGTGCTTTTGTGGTGTGGGCCAAATTAAGCCAGGAGAAGGCTGGCTTGTGAGCAGGTATATCCAGCTAGATCTCAGTGCTTATAAGCTAAATCAGAGCTAGGGGAGAGCCAAGTTAACCTACCGTAAATACTGTAAGAGTACCCCACCCCCACAATGACGGTACGGAGTGTTGGGTAGTCTAGCTTTGAAAGAGTTTTTCTCGACACTGGTTTATGCTACAATGCGTGCTTAAGTATCAAAAAATTGCCCTGAATTTCAGCTATTTTTTGATACCAAAGACGCATTTTTTGAAAGTAAGGGCGCTTTTAAAAAAATGAAATACTAAAAAAACTTTTGCGACTACGCGACTGTACGAGGGGGGTGGGGTACTATTACAGTATTTGCGGTAAGTTTATATTAGTACAAAACTTCACCTACCGTAAATACTGTAATAGAACGTCACCCCCAATAGTTACGGCGTATCGTCGCGTAGTCTAACTTTGAACCCTTCGTTCTCCGCGCTGCTTTATGCTACAGTGGGCGCTATTTTTTTGATACCAAAGACGCATTTTTTGAAAGTAAGGGCGCTTTGAAAAAAATGAAATACTAAAAAAACTTTTGCGACTACGCGACTGTACGAGGCGGGTGGGGTCCAATTAAATTATTTACGGTAGGTAGGTACCCTAAATTTTCTGAAAATAAAACAATTAACAAACTCATTAAAATTGTGGTGAGCAAGATGACAATATAGAGATCGCGGAATTGCCAGAAAGGATTTCGTTTGATTTGTTGGATTGTTGATTCAATGAAAGACATGATTTTTAGATGTATTTGAATGTGAAATCTGAATGTTTCAATTCTTTTTTTCTTCAACTTTATTCCAATACCAATTTTCTGAATGAATTTTCTAAAATAGGTCAATTTTCAAAAACTAACCTGAGCTGATTCATAGAAATTTGAAAAATTACATCAGTCTTTTGAGTTGAATTTGAGGGAATTTCGCATGGATTTGAGTTGAAAATTGGCAGAAAATAGTGTAGAGATCAAAAAGCTTTGGTTGCTCACAAAAAAAAAGTTCAAAAATCAAAATTACCCCAACTTTTTTTGTTAGATTAATGAAACTGGATCACTTTTGACATATAGCGTTACAAGATCTGTACAAACAAAGAAGTTGTCTGTGTTAGCCATAAAAAATGAGTCCTTCCTTTTAAAATTTTTGATATTTTAACTGTAAATAATATACAGGCAAACCTCGTTAGTAAATAACTCAAGGGAGATCGAAAAATCTATTAAATATCGAGGTTAAATTGAATGTTTTTTTTGTCAAAGGGGTGTTAGAAAAGCTATTTGCTAAAGAGTTTTCTCCTAACAAGGTTTTACTGCATATAAATACATAATCGATAATACAATAATAAATAATACATGTAAATATTAATACCGTATTTTCTCTAATAGTAGTGCACCGTGAGCGCCGCCTAAATTGCTCGAAATCTCGAGAACCGCTTATCAGAACCTATCGATGTGGGGTGGGAAAATGTAACACGAATCAGCGGCTTGATGGTGAGCTGTTGGAGAAGATTCGCGACGTTTTCGAAAGCAACAGAGATCAAAAGCTTTAGTAGATCACAAAAAAAAAGTTCAAAAATCGAACTTACCCCAGCTTTTTCTTGGAAGATTAATGAAACTGGATAACTTTTGAAATATAGCTTTACAAAATCTGTACAAACAAGGAAGTTGTCTGTGTTAGCCATAAAAAAAATCGGAAAAGATCACAAAGTTGAACCATATATTTCTTTGAACTTTAACAACTTCCCCCTAATTATGAGTCTAAAGAAAGATTCTATTTGTGGAATGCGGCGAATTGCGTTTCCCTTTACAAACGCTTGCTTCAATCCAATAATTTATTGGCAATCAGGCGAATAAACTCTGTTTTCGAGGCTGAAAAGACAAAGAACAAAGATTTTTTGCTCAAAACAGATGACTGATGGAAAGCTGCAATTGAATTGTGATTCGTTTGATTGAAATTATGAACTTCAACTTATTGGAATTGCGTTATTGAGTGACAAAACTGACTACCAATCTTCACATTATAAATCAACGAATACACTTAGAAGTGATCGGTTGATGCATTTGACTAGAGGAAATTAATGAAACGTTTGTCGATTGAGGTGATGTGCTTTTCTCGTTTTTTCTTCTTGTTGCTTTTTTCAAGAAAATCGCATTCGAAATTCTGAAACGAAGGAATTTTTGAAGATTTGAAACGGTCTACTCAAAGATGAGTCATTTGGAGCAAATATTATATTCATTTATTTGAAAAGCACGCTTTTTGATTCGTTTCCCTTTGGAGCCGCTTTTGATGCATTCAACGATCGAATTTCACAAAACTAAAAGTGTTAAGTTAAAGAGGACCATCGCATTGACCAAAAACTCTTCCTAACTAAGAAAAAGAAATCCGAACACTTTTGTTTGGAGAGCCAAGAAACTCTAGACATGGCAAAGTTTTTAGAAATTAGCAAAGAGATAGTATTTAGGTGAACTTAACCGATCACTCCTTCACTAATCTGAGGCCAAACGTGTAGAGAGCCATTTGCAATTTGCTGACAACTTGCAGGAAAAGACTTTCCAAAAGGGGTCCTATGAAAGAATTTAAAACGATGAACAATATGTTCGTGACTACATAGTTGATAAAGTCGATGATAGAGCTGCAGACCATCTAAAGTTTAAAACAAATATAATGGAGTTTGTGCTTTTGCAACGAAGTCTTTGGCTTGAGTTTCTAATTATCTCTTTTGAACGTTTCTCAGCTGAATAGCTTGTCATTTTTCCAGAAACTTCAAGAACAAGATCGTTCTATAAAGCTAAGTTCAATCTCTTTCTTTGGCCATTTTTGACGGCTAAAGTAAAACAGCCAATTCTAAAGTCAAATTGAGCTTTACCTGTTTCATGAGCCGTCTCTCAACCAATGAGATCTTTCCATTTTTCCTCTAAATCCCATCTAACATTGTCTAATTGAAATCACCAACTTTTCGAAGCTTTCGAAAAGTGAGAAAAACAAGATTAATCATGAAAAAACCATTTTAGTTAGAAATTAAAAATCCACAAACTTGATAATTTCAACTTTGATGCTGTCGTCCTGTTGTTGACCTCTCCAAACCCTACTACACCCGATATTGAAAAAGAATCGTTGTTTCTTGTAACAACACACTGAGTTCTTCTCATCGTAAATGAGGTAGTTCTATAGCCTCAACTAAAAATAAACTTATCCAGAAATTAATACTGATCCTTTTAGTGACCCCGCAAGTACCAAACACCCACTTCTTCAAGTTTCCATGCGACAAGTTGCGGTGAATGAGAGTTCCCCGGTTTAACCCACTCCCCAAGTCGTGCCTAAGCGAGAGAAATTTAAGCATGGATTACACTTCTAATTAAGCACTTCTAATTGATTAGATCACGAAAATTTCACAAATCTTAATCATTCTTCTGTGATCACCAAATCCGCGCCCAAACTTTTCATGTGATCTTCGAGTTTCTTTTGTGCATCTGGTGTTTCTCGTTTGCCCATAATGTTCACACTCTTGATTCCAAGATTCAGCACGTTTGGTTTTTTAAAAATTTAAAAATATGTTGCATAACTCCATGGAATTCTAAGCTAACCATAAGTCATTTGAAATGGTCCTCTGGGGGGCTGAGTAGTGCGCACAGACAGACAGACAGACACAGCTCTTTTGTCTATAAGCCTTTTTTTTCTTTGGAGGCAGGGGCAAAAAAAGTTTAGAGACTACGGTGACCGATTCGAGCGAATTTCCGAGGATTATTTACCCAATCACCGTTCGTTCAACACAAATTTGCAGGTTCGTAAGAGCTAAAAGATTTTTCTCTTTTAGCTCTTAGATAAAGATAAAGAAATTTTCCGAATCTCATCGATGAGCTCAACGAAGCAAAGATTTCGAAAACGGAAACTGTAAAGAAATGAGATAACTTTATGATAACTGTTTTAATATCTAACGTTCAATTTTTAGGAAGTCTTTTTGATAATAAAGATTTCACGTGCTCAAAGAAATCTTCTTTGAGCCAAAAGCAAACGTATGTAAAAACAAAATGTGAGAAAAATTGAAAGAAAAATAAGCTTAGTTTTTATCCACTCAATCTAATTTTTGTACCATTCTCGGGAAAAAATCATTACAGCAAATTTTTGCAACGTCCATGTTTTTTTCGTAAAGCACAACGAAAAAGTTTGTGAGAGACCCATTACTTGATGAGTCACATCACTTTTTGTGTAATACAACTGGAAACGGGATATCTTTGCCGCCGATCTCTGCAAAAAAAAAGCCTTGGAGAATCAAAAATAAAAATTTATATTTACTTTTCTGAAACTACCATGGAAATTGATAATATATTTTCCACAGAAATCATCTTCAAATTCTTTTCAAAAACTTCAATCGATGAGTTGAAAGATCTCAAAGAGATTTATTTGATCTGTCATCCAGGGAATCGGCTTGTTGTGCGGTGGGTTGTGTTATTTTAGAACTGATTTGCACATAAATTCTACTTGTAAGTTGAGTTTTTTCTACCAGTTTCAGTTTTACTCTAGACAGTTCAGGCTAAAAATTTCATTTTCTGGAATCGATTTGATCTTGGCCTACCAGGCAAATTTCTGATATTTTCAACTGGACCTAGCTTGGCCACCAGATCAATCCGGGCTTTGAACTAGCCAAACCTGAGCTGAGCGACAAAGTACCAGCTTGGGTGTGTCTAAGGTTTATGACATCTTGTTTCCAATAAGTTTTACTAAATGCAAATTTACTAATGCTTTTAAGAATAGTAAAACAAAATAGTTAGCAAAATCAAAATACCTATACTAGTTTCTTTTTTTCGTTCCAGAAAGCTTCGCCTCAAACCGATTCCCGCGAGTTGGGACCCCAAATGGACTCCGTCGAGAACGCCGCTTTTGATCCAAGAAGGTTCATTTGACTGAGTAAAATTATTGCATTAAGATTGCTTAAACTTTTAACAAAACAAAATCATGCCATTTTTTAAGCTATTTTATAGAAATAATGGAACTTCAGATATGTCATTAATCAAGAAATTCGCTTCAAAAAGATCAGGGATTGGTATGAAAAACATCAGGTAAAGAAAGGGTTAATAGCTTTCATTGTAAGATTTTCAGGAAGAGTACCCGGATCTGAAAACTGTGGATGGAAAGAAAAGGCTTGGAAAAGATACGGGTTAGTTCAAAGCCTGAGCTTTAGCACATTGAATCTCTTAGGTGAAGAAGGAGGCTCGTTGATTTTCCATGGAACGGCGAATTTGCACGAAAAGTTGACAAAAGCGTTTTTGATTTTAGCAAGAGGTTAATTGTTTGGTTTTTTTACCGTAATCAAATCGCTAATTAACGTTTAATCAGCCTAATTTTTTTAAATCATTGACTAATCCTTGTGATTCCTCAACGAATGCTACCAAAAAAAATGGCTGATTGAACGAAAATTGGCCGTTTGGCTTTGGTAATTTTCTAAAATCAGTGTCTTTTGGAAAATTCACTCTATTGCAGCTTTCAACAGCGGTGAAATTCCGACAAATAACCTCATCATGATCTCGTTAAAGTTTTTCGATGATTTAGAATACAGAGATTCCCGGATAAAGGTGGGTTTTTAAACTAAAGTTTGTGCAGAATTTTCATTACAAGATTTCATTTCAGATTTCCACAAATAGTCGCGAAGAATTGCCACAGATTCTACGGGAAATCCACAAAATCTTGCTCAACGCCAATTCACCGGATTTCTTCATTCGTTACAAAACGGATGTGGCTTGGTTGGTAATGGACTTACCGTAAATACTGAATGATAAATACTTAACGTAAATACTGAATCCTAGAATGACACCCTCTAATAGAATCACCCACTGACCCCAACGAAATCTTGATTTTAGATCCCCCTTTTGGGGGTTCAATGTATAGATCTAGGCCTAAAACCTAATAATATTTTATCGGCAGTAGGATTTAAAACGCTATTTTTGAAAAAATAGAAAAAGAATTTTTTGAAAAAAATTATAAGGGTCCTCCACATGGATTTTTTTTGGAGATTCAAAGGGGTATCGCGGGTAAGAAAATAATTTCACTTTTAAACGTGGTTTTTTGTACGCTTTGAACAAAAAGCCATCGTTTAAAATAGTTTTTAACGAATTCGAAATTTTTGATGCCTCTGGCTTTACCCTTACCGACTTTTTGGATCGTCCAATTTTGAGGGGTTGAAATATAGAATGACATATCATTCTAATACAGCATTTAGGGTAATCGAGTTTTCTCAGTGTCCTTAAGAAAAAGCCAGCGTACTCCAAAAACCGACTAATTTGTCTATTTAATAGACTGCGCCGACTCATTAGCGAACTCAAAAAGTAGTCAAAAGAAAGCTTGCAGTTTTCAAGCAGTGGGATTATTAACTGAAAGGACCAACAAGTGAATCGGAATACATTTTTAGCTGTTTGAACCGGTACTACAAGGGTTACTTTAAAATCGAGTCTCCAGTTGAGGGATGGAGCTATAACATTGAAAAACTTATCAATCAAATTGCTTCATTGTGATGCTTTGTGATTTTTGTGAAAACATATTTGTTTGTACTTATTTTCATTTTTCTGTTTTTGATCGAGGCTCTTAATTCATTCATAAATGATAAAAAGATGGGTTTGTAGCTTTTCAGCATCATGTTTCAAAATGCAACTTCAACTGAAAAACAAATTTGTATGTATTGGGTTGACGGAAAAGTCCTTTCCGATTTTTTGGGAGAGTACCTTACATTTGTTCAATTTTGACGTTTTATAGCTCATCCTAAAGCTGAATGCAAGACGGATCGATTGGTAAAAACTGTTTTGAGATATCTCTTTTCTAAAAGGTTTTACAGCTATATTAGTAAAGGGCGGCAGAGCCAAAAAATGGCTGTTTTCACGTTTCGTTAGCTTTCCGTGCAGAGCTTTGGCTAGAAGTTTTTAATTGTTAGTCATTTTTCCGACAAGTAATCATGTAGTAATGAAAAAAAGGTCATCGAAAAACCTTTTCAAAATCAAAAATCCGCCTTTTGAATTTTTAAAATCATTCTTTAGCGATGAATCATGAATGCTTTGAGACGAATGACTTTGTGGCGCTCTCGCTTAGAATTGAATCACCCATACATGCTTCCAGGATCGAGGTTTAGTTAAAGAATCGTATTTTTTTCGTTTTCAACAAGTAGCCTTAAATATTACTTGCTTTCAGATTAACACGAATCAGCGGCTTGATGGTGAGCTGTTGGAGAAGATTCGCGACGTTTTCGAAAGCAACAGAGATCAAAAAGCTTTAGTAGATCACAAAAAAAGTTCAAAAATCGAACTTACCCCAGCTTTTTCTTGGAAGATTAATGAAACTGGATCACTTTTGAGATATAGCTTTACAAGATCTGTACAAACAAAGAAGTTGTCTGTGTTAGCCATAAAAATCGGGAAAGATCAAAAAGGGGGGCCAGGTTTTTTTTTTTTTTTAAAAATTTTTTTTTTTTTGGGGGGGTAAAGAGAATTTATATGGGGGGGGGGGGGGGGGGGGAAAGAAAAAGAAAAAAAAAAATTAAGAGTTTGAGGGGAATTTTAGGGGGGGTGGGGGGGGGTTGGGGGGGGGGGGGGGGGAGGGGGGGGGGGGGGGGGAGAGGGGGGGGGAGGAAAAAGAAAAAAAAAAAAAAAAAAAAAAAAAAAAAATTAAGATTGATAAATGTTAATGGTTAGGGAGTGAAGAGGGAAGGACATGGAGAAAGGGGAAGAAGGGGGGGGGAGAGGGAGAGGAGGGGGGGGGGGAAAAAAAAAATGAGTCCTTCCTTTGAAAATTTTCGAGATTTTAACTGTAAATAATGTACAGGTAAACCTCGTTAGTAAATAACTCAAGGGAGATCGAAAAATCTATTAAATATCGAGGTTAAATTGAATGTTTTTTCGTCAAAGGGGTGTTAGAAAAGCTATTTGCTAAAGAGTTTTCTCCTAACAAGGTTTTACTGCAATACTGGTCTTACTAAATACATAATCGATAATACAATAATAAATAATACATGTAAATATTAATACCGTATTTTCTCTAATAGTAGTGCACCGTGAGCGCCGCCTAAATTGCTCGAAGTCTCGAGAACTGCTTATCAGAACCTATCGATGTGGGGTCGGAAAATTTAGCCGACGATGAGATCTAGTGGGGGATTAGAGCGTTGAGCTTCTGCCAAAGCTTGGAAACCGTAAAATCACCACTAACTCGGCTCGCCGGGGTGCATTACTACTAGAGAAAACACGGTAATAATGTAAATAGTACAAAGTAACAAAGAAAAAAGTAAAATGCCACAAACACAATCAGAACTAAAATATTTATTCCGCTGCAATATGGCCGAGAAATAAAAAATTATTGACAAAAATACAGTTTTCTAGGCAAAGATAAGGAAAAATAAAACCAACATCAGTAATCCTGAAGCTGAAGTCCCATTGGCATTCCCTAGTATGGCATGCACGAAAAATCCGAATTAGGTTGCGGAATAGAAGTTCATAATAAGTGGCGGTGGTAGGCGTCCATTGACCATTCAGGAAAACCTAAAAAAATTACAAAAACAAGACTTGCTATTAGTGAAATTCTCTCCAAGCTCTGTTATACAAAAAATACCGTAATATTTCAAAATTTAAACACTAACCTCTCGTCGAACTTCAGTCAGAAGTCAGAAGATGACCCTCGAGCTTTTACTAGTTTCAAAAAAATCATACCTTACTTAAATCTGGTTTATGTCGGCAGGGTTAATAGGAGTGCCCAACAACTTTACGTGCACCGATTTGTCCTCAAGTTTCTTTGGTAAGTCGTTTTGCTGGAGAAGAATCGTCTAAACTTGCATATTTCATAAAAATTGCAAAGCAGTTCAATATTCTTTATAACAAGAAGGTCAGATTGCTAAGCACTCTAAACATTTACGCGATCATTATCCATAATGAAAAACTCTGTTTACCTTCACCGGATCACCAAAATTCTCCTAAACAAGCCTTCACGACGAAACCGTCCTTCTGCCGAATGAGTTTACATTTTGAGCCCAAGGTCGTAGACAAGGCAACATCTCTGATAAAAATAAAAGCTAGACCAGTAGCCTTCAAAGAGATAATGACGACAGATCACAAAGCAAATGAAAATAAAAAGATGGGGAGCTTTGAAAAGGGCAAAGCATTGGTTATATATCATCCTTTGATAGCCAAATTGTTTAGTTCTTCAACTGAATATCTTCTGACTTCACAGTACTATAAATATCTTTAACCAATGACATTTCTCATTCTTAATTGCTTTCGAATGATTGGTCTACTCACTTCACCGTCTTCTTCTAATGCGAATCCCGGAAAACGTAGCTTTGTACTACTTTTAGCCAATGTTGTTTCCGAGCTAGTTGAATCAATGGTATAGCTTTAGAACATTTAAAACACCTTTGCAGCATTAGAAGCCTCAGGGTTATAAAATTTGTTGGGTTAGCCATCAAAAAGTTGCAAAATAAAGAAATCGAGTTGAGTTCGGCATGTTTAGCTTAAAAACTATGACATGAAAGGTGGTAAAACGTTGAGAAATTTCCCGTCTTTAGAATAAAAAGTGGTGGCAGGAAAGGCTGTTTTGGGATGTGGAATGTGGAAAGAATGCTGAAAATTGCTTTTTTAAAAGATTGAAAGCTAAAGACTATTTTTGTACAAGATTGAGTACTATAGGCTTTGGGGGGTACTTTTTTCACCAAAACCATTTTTCCTAGGGTAATTGATGACGCTGATCACGAAGTTATTTTTAAGGCAAGTTAGTCATGGAAAATGTCCGTTTTTAAACGGACGGGAAAATGCCCATAAAATTCTGCATCGTATGGTTTATGGTTCATTTCAATTTGGCTACCTCAACCCTATGACCTTTCCTTGTTAGCCATGAGTGTGATCTGTCCAGCAATTTCGTTCTAGCCCAGTTTAATATCATTTGAATGCCTAAAATTCAGTGTATAAGGATTTGAAATACAGAAGTTCAAAGCATCAGTTGAGATTGTGAATTTTGTGATTCAGCCAATTAAAGCCAAAATTCATTCAATTCACAGTTGTTAGAGGTATCGATTGAATCGAATTCGTTGTTTTTCTCTTTATTTTGCCCTCTCTTGGCTTTCGCAAGCAGATAGCCGTGATTAAGCTGTAAATAATTTCATTGGAAAGAAAAGTTTCCAACCATACCTGGTAACAAAATAAAAGCAAAAATGTTGCAATGTATTGAGAATTTCAATGAATAGAAATAACAAAAAAATATCGAAAAAGGCGTTTATGAAAATGCGGATGATATCGTAGAAAATCCAGGCTGCAAAGGTGATCACCGAATATGAGAGCATCTGAAGGAAAAACTTGCTGTAAAGGATTTAGTAAAGAATATTTACTTGGTTAGTGATTCAGTTAAGCTTTCAGTTTTATTAAAAGACAGACAAACAGAGAGACACTGCTCTTTTATATATCGCACTTGTCTTTAGCCCACATGACCCGAGTTTGACTCCCGCCCGTCTCGGCACTTTTGGTTTTTTGAAAATTTAAAAACTTCTATTTAAAAACTTGCATAACTCGATGGAATTCTAAGCCAAACTAACCATAAGTCATTTAAAATGGCCCACTGGGCGCGGAGAAGTTGACAGAATAGACACAAAGACACAGCTCTTTTTGTCTATAAGCCTTTCTTTTTGATGAGTCATATCAATTTTTGTGTATAACATATGGAAACGGGATATCTTTGTCGCCAATCTCTGCAAAATAAAATCATTGGAGATTCAAAAAAAAAAATTTATATTCACTTTTCTAAAACTACCATGGAAATTGATAATATATTTTCCACAGAAATCATCTTCAAATTCTTTTCACAAACTTCAATCGATGAGTTGAAAGATCTTAAAGAGATTTATTTGATCTGTCATCCAGGAAATCGGCTTGTTGTGCGGTGAGCTGTGTTATTTTAGTACTGATTTGCACGTAAATTCTACTTGTAAGTTGCGTTTTTGTCTACCAGTTTCAGTTTTACTCTAGACAGCTGAGGCTAAAAATTTCCTTTTCCGGAATAAGCCAGGTTTGATCTTGGCCTACCAGGCAAATTTTTGATATTTTTGAACTTGACCTGGCCACCAGATCAATCCTGGCTTTGAACTAGTCAAACCTGAGCTGAGCGACAAACCATGTACCAGCTTGGTTTTAACATTTTAAGCATTTAAACTTAAACAACACGTTTAAGACATCTTGTTTCCAATAAGTCTTACCAAATGCAAATTTACTAATGCTTTTAAGAATAGTAAAACAAAATAGTTAGCAAAAATCAAAATACCTATACTAGTTTCTTTTTTTCACTCCAGAAAGCTTCGCCTCAAACCGATTCCCGCAAGTTGGGACCCCAAATGGACTCCGTCGAGAACGCCGCTTTTTGATCCAAGAAGGTTCATTTGACTGAGTGAAATTATTGAATTAATATTGCTTAAACTTTTAACAAAACAAAATCATGCCTTTTAAGCTATTTTATAACAATAATGGAATATCAGATGTGTCATTGATGAAAGAATTCGCTTCAAGAAGATCATGGATTGGTATGAAAAAACATCAGGTAAAGGAAGGGTTAATAGCTTTCATTGTAAGATTTTCAGGAAGAGTACCCGGGATCTGGAAAACTGTGGAGGGGACAGAAAAGGCTTGGAAAAGATACGGGTTAGTTCAAAGCTTGAGCTTTAGCACATTGAATCTCTTAGGTGAAGAAGGAGGCTCGTTGATTCTCCGCTTTTTCCATGGAAAAAAAAACGACACGAAGAGTTGACAAAAAGTGTTTTTGATTTTAGCAAGAGGTTAATTGTTAGGTTATTTTACTATAATCAAATCGCTAGTTTACATTTAATCAGCCTAATTTTCAAATCATTGACTAATCCTTGTGATTCCTCATCGAATGATACCAATAAAAATGGCTGATTGAACGAAAATTGGCTGTCTGGCTTTGGCAATTTTCTAAAATACGTGCCTTTTGGAAAATTCACTCTATTGCAGCTTTCAACAGCGGCGAAATTCCGACAAATAAGCTCATCGTGATCTCGTTAAAGGTTTTCGATGATTCAGATGACGAAGATTCCCGGATAAAGGTGGGTTTTTAAACTGAAGTTTGTGCAGAATTTTCATTACATTTTCATTACAAGATTTCATTTCAGATTTCCACGAATAGTCACGAAGACTTGCCACAGATTCTACGGGAAATCCACAAAATCTTGCTCAACGCCAATTCACCGGATTTCTTCCTTCGTTACAAAACGGATGTGGCTTGGTTGGTAATGGACTTACCGTAAATACTGTACTACAATGACACCCTCTAATAGAATCACGCGCTGACCCACGAAATCTTGACTTTAGACCCCCTTGTGAGGGTTCAATGTAGAGATCTAGGCCTAAAATCTACTAATATTTCCTCTGGCCTTACCCTTACCGACTTTTTGGATCGGCCAATTTTGACAGGTTGAAATATAGGATGACATATCATTCTAATACAGCATTTACGGTAATCGAGTTTTCTCAGTGCTTAAGAAAAGCTAGCGTACTCAAAAACCGACTAATTTGTCGATTTAATGGACTGCACCGACTCATTAGCGAACTCAACAAGTAGTCAAAAGAATGCTTGCAGTTTTCAAGCAGTGGGATTGTGAAAGGACCAACAAGTGAATCGGAATACATTTTTAGCTGTTTGAACCAGTACTTCACGGATTTCTTTAAAATCGAGTGTCCAGTTGAGGGATGGAGCTATAACATTGAAGAACTTATCGAGCAAATCGCCTCATTGTGATGCTTTATGATTTTTGTGAAAACATATTTGTTTGTACTTATTTTCATTTTCAAAATTTGTATGTAGTTTTCGAGTACTCAAACTAAACTAATGATGAAATGCTCCAATCCAGTTCCGCTCCAACTCAGTTTGATCAAAACTAATTTCCTCTGTATTACGAATTATTAGTGTACTTTCCCATGAATTTGCGAAATGTGGCTAGACCTGTACGCTTTTACTTGAAGAAATAACAAAACTAACTTTATTCAATACACGTAGAGCAAAGTGTGTCAAATGTTTCAACGAAGCTTTCAACGAATGCGTAAGGCCTGAGACAAAAGAAATCACTTTGATGAAAATCGCGAGAAGAAAAGAAAAGAAAGCTCTAACAAAATAAAAATGAATCTGGTTTATGTCGGCAGGGTTAATAGGAGCGCCAAACAACTCTACGTGCACCGATTTGTCCTCAAGTTTCTTTGGTAGGTCATAGTGCTGGAGAAGAATCGTCTAAACTTGCATGTTTCATAAAAATTGCAAAGCAGTTCAATATTCTTTATAACAAGAAGATCAGATTGTTAAGCACTCCTAAACATTTACACGATCATTATCCATTATGAAAAACTCTGTTTACCTTCACCGGATCACCAAAATTATCCTAACTAAGCCTCCACGATGAAACCGTCCTTCTGCCGACCAAGCTTACATTTTAGGTCGAAGGTCGTAGACAAGGCAACATTTCGAAAAAATAAAAGCTAGATCAGTAACCTTCCAAGAGAGAATGACGACAGATCACGAAACAAACGAAAACAGAAGAGAAAATGGAGGTTTGAAAACGAGTAAAAGACTCGATATAATATAATATCATTTGATAGCAAATTACTTAGTTCTTCAACTGAATATCTTTTGACTTCACAGTGTTAAAAGTGTTTTTGAGTCAAACTAACGTCAACTCTAATCATCATTTTTACTTCTTTCCGGATGACTGGTTGATTCACTACACCGCCTTCTTCTAATGTTAATCCTTCAAAACGTTTTCAACTAGCAAAGGTGAGGATTTTTTTAACTTCAAATGGCACTTATCTCGATCTCCAGCAACGCATTGTGCTACTTCTAGCAAGTGTTCTTTCCCGAGCGAGTTGAATGGTAATAGCTTTAGAGCGTTTAAAGCACTTTGGAATGGTGTTTCGCAGCATTAGAAATCTCAGCGTTATAAAATTGCCCAGGTTAGCCATCAAAAATTGCAAAGAAAGGGAATCGAGGTTGAGGTTCTCCACGCGGAATTAAAAGTGGTGGCCCGGAGGTGGTTTTGTCCTTTGTAAAAGGTGCCGGGAAGAATGCCAAACACTATTTTGGCGCAAAGATCTTTCAAACTTATAGAGGCGCTGTTTTGGCCCATCCCGTAACGTTCCTCGCGTACTTATCAACATTTTCTTTTTAGTCACCGTTCGCAACTCCCACCCCAGGCGCGAGCCAGCGAGTCTGTGCATAAAATGAGGACGTCAACCCCGAAAAGCTAATTCTGGCCGTGCAACTGCAAAGGGAATCCGTCGCCTACATTCCCAACCGATGTCTACTTCAATGGGTCACGACATGGCAACCACAGGTCGAGCTATCGTTTCATTAGAGGTTGTCCATTGTGTTTAAAAACAAACGAGTACTTAAGCAGAAATATGACGCGGGTGAGAAAATCTTTCTTTGGTCGTCAGGTCAGTCAGATCTATGAACCTTTTGCGTATTTTATTCTTAGAAATGGTCTTTTCTATCTTCCTAATATCGTCAGCTCTGTTATTGGAAGCATCACAATCTGGTATAAATTGTGGTGATTGGTCAATTTTCGCCCAACTATGTCTCTTTAGGTATTAACGTTTTTTCAATGGGCTCTACTATGGCTGGAGTTGTGCTTTTTTGGTGTACGATCCGTGGATGTTCGAGAATTCCCGCTTCAAATTCAAAAATCACGATGACGCTGATAGCCAGCCAAATGCTATTCGATGGAAACTTTTGGAAGCTAGGCAAGCTATTTTAATTTTCAGATAACACCTGCATCTATCTAATGTACCTTTTTAGTCTAGCTGCCCGAACCATTCGATCAACGATGAGAAAAACAACCAATTTACATCGATTCAGCTCTTGTGATAAAAAGTACAAAATGGCAACTTTTCATCGCTTCGCTATGAATTAAGAGTGCTCCGTGTGATTAGTTTTCTAAAGGTGGACAATTTGAGAAGAACACCGGTACCTTTCCATGGTACATTTTCCTTTTCCGCTATTTTGATCCCATAGAAGCTTCACGATTTGGCTCCTCATCAAGAGTCAAGAGAATTAAGTAAAATCGAGCAAATCTAGAAAAGACTTTGTGGTAGCTTTACAAGTTATCCCGCAAGTTATCCACCTCCCCAAGCACTATTCTTGAGGAACACTTTGTATCGTAAAAAATATGAATACCTGAAAATTGCCAATCAATCATGAATTTCAGAAGGGGTTCTGTGCCGGTGTGAAGGTGGCGTGAAGAGAAGGCGGGTGAAGTCAATTTTCGGCGGCTCTTAAATAAAAATCAAGAACTGTCGAACTATTTCATTTTGTCCGTAGGCATCCACTATGCTTTGTTTTTCTGTTTCCATTTGGTTATCTGATCCGAGAGATTTATCTTGATTAATTCGAAGACGGTCCTTTGCCAACTTATTGTTTTAAGCCAACAACTATATATCATCATTCTATTTTGCAATGGATCTCCAGCTGAAAGTTTTCAAATCAGCTGAGGCTGCTCAAATGGCGGAGCACCGTGTGAGTTTTCAATGCAGTACCGGATAAAGTAGCTAGAAATGTAGGCTGAGAATTGCAACTTTTGATGTTTTGTAGAAGACATTTTGTACAACAGATACATTCTAGTTTCCAAAAGCGCGGATGGCACAAATGGACCACGGAAATACCCAACTTGTGGCGTGACGGTTTACCAAACAGTGCGCTGAGAAAGCAATAACCCCGAGAACACGTTGGATGTCTGCAGGAGCCCATTTCAGCAGCTTCTTTCTCGATCAAGACCACAGCTATTTTTTGATTGGTGAGCTCTGTTAGTTAATAATCATTTTGCAGCTTTTTCAGGATATCTATTTGTAAACTAACAAGGGAAGGTCCACAAAGGGTGATGGAGCCTTATATACCGACGTATAATTTTGGGTGATTCGAATCTGCTTTCAGATTTTTGCAAAATGGCACTATATCAAAAGTTATAAGCCTGCAAAGATTTGTATGGAATTTCAAAAATCATTCTTCAAAATCTGTAGCCAGTATTCCTAGGGTCATTAAGTAGCAGTGGTGACCGGTGTCAATCGGCTAGGATACAAGACAATCCTCTCGGGTTCGAATCCAGGTCTTCTTTTTCTGGCTTTCTTTAGAGTAAGTGATCTCATTTCAAATACAAGTCTTTTTCAAACTGGCCCCTCATAAAAATGTTTAGTTTTAACTATTAACATCAAACAATAATCATTCAAAATCCAAAACATTGAGTCTCTTCGCGACATGGATGACGTTTGTCGATTCTAATTTTAACTTCCACAGCTAACAATCAGAGCACGAGACATAAAAGCAAGACAATTTGTATCCTCACAGAGCAAAGCATCAAATTTGAAACAAAGCATCGTTTGAAGTATTGAATGAAACTCGCGCCCATTTCGCGAATGTCATCAATGTCGCCAAGAAATGGTGTTTTGAAAAAAAGAAGTGCCCCCCAACCGGCTCAGTACCTTGACAGCAATCATTAAAATCACATCCGTCTGTTCGCATCATCAAACAGCAATCATTAAAATCCGAAACACCAAAAACACCGCAAAAAAACTCCCTAAGGATATGCGAGGGATGATTTTTAAAATTACAAATACAAAACTTTGCAGCCTTATAACTTTTGATAGAGTGCCATTTTGCTTAAACATAAACAGATTCAGGAATCAACGCAAAATTCTACGTCGTCGGTGAGTATATGGCTCATGTCATTTAGCCACATCACCCTTTTGGCTTTCACTTATAATTAAGAAAAGGCTCACCGTAGCCTTTCAAAAGGCCGAGATCTTATCTTGTGAGTATTGATTGATCAACAATGGGATATTAAAATCAGTGGTAAAAATTGAGCGACACACCGGTCGAGCCTCTGTCTCAGTGTCGGACAAGTCGAACATAATTAAATTCTTCAGTTCTAGATTTGGAATAACTTATAAGCAAAAGTGCAGCTTAGTAAACAATACACTTTAGAGTTACTCAACAGCCCCGCTCTTGCTGAAACCTCCTATGGAAGTGGCTATTACCTGACAAAGGTTTAAACTCCTTTTCAATTGAATCCTATCAAAATATTCAGCCAATCAAGATCAGAAATGCATGATTTGTCATAAGGAATGTTTGTGGTATTGCTAGTTCTCAAGTTTATTTTGAAATTTAGATTCAATTGAAACGGAAGATCGAGAACCGTGTGATCTGGCGTGCAATCACACAAAATTTGCTTCGGATGTGTTGAATCCTAGAATTTATACGATGCATTTAGTGAGGACGTTCTCTTCGATGTCCGACTTGTTTTGAGACGTCATCTGCGCTTGATGCAGTAACCCACCCCAAAGTAATTAGAACAAATTCATTTGTAAGAGTCAGTTTTTTAAAAGTTGCCAATCTTTGTTAGTCTTTTTGTCCGTTTTTATCTTTTTTTGGGGATAGTCAAACGAAATTTGCCAAGCTCGGTAGTCAGCCCAGTCAAACAAGAAACCCAATTTGACCCATCAGAAAAAGTTTTGTTGACGGCGATAAGTTGGTGGTAAAGCTTTTTCGGTTCTGAATTTTCTGACTTTTTTTGCCATTTCGGCTAGACGATGAACTTTGAATAATTTAAGCGAAAGGTGCTTATAAGTTTATCAATTAAATACAAGTATCGATTAGGTAACAATTTCAAAAATTTTTTGAAAGAACTGCCTGAAATGATCAAAACAAGTTGAAAACACCGAGGAAACAATAACAAAAATTTCTCCGACAATCCGGGT